AATGGCGGGTTTTATCGGCTACTTCATCTCAACGTACTGTAAAATTATACCTTTCCATTGGGGCTACATTGCAGTTATTGTTCAACTTGTATGGGTCAATGCCGCAACATATTATCTCACATGTTGCTAGACAGAAGAGCCAACACAACATTAGAGTTTTGCTAAAATAGTCCGCTTTAAAGGGGCGGAGACTTCTTTCTTACCTCTGGATTTTAGCAAGGGGAGCTCTAATCCATTTCGATATTTAGCAAATATTCAAGCGTTCAGTCGGTGAGTATTGGTCTGTTTATCCAACAAACGGATGGCTATAAACCTAACTTTAACTTCACGTTGATACAGTTCGGCTTATGCTGTAAAAAATGCTAATGGCTAACTGGTTTTTTCGTTCTCGGCAGATACGTTGGCTCGATCGATTGCTTTTATCTGATCCTGCGAACTGTCCAAGTGAGTTCATAGAATTTAGGCCATTTTTATTTGCGCAAAACACAAATAAAGATCTTCAGGCACCTATTGTAGGTTTAGAGACAGATTTTGCTCATTGGTTAATAAGTGTGCAAATATCTCGGACATGACCTAGTTCCAAATAGTAATAATAAGATCTAAATGATTATCTGGAAATAGGGAAACTACTATTTGTAGCAACTTTCAATCACTTACTCTATAAATATGTCAGCTTAGTTGTTTTCTATCATAACTTAGAGAAATATAACTCTAATTGAGATTATGTGATCGTGTAATGCAGCGTCTACGTCTGCTACTCCTTAACTAACAGTCGAGGCAGCTACGTGTTACCTTATATAAAATATTACAGCGGCAAAGAGATGGCTCACTTTGAATTTTGCAGGCCGGCTTTGAACTAGTATATAAACGCTTATAGTGTAGCTCTATTTCTTATGTAAAGAGATTTTCTACATAGAAACCATACGTATGAAGAGATCTGTATGCCAGTTTACCGAAGGGACCTGTGTACGTTTAATATGAAAGTAGGGAGTATTACTTCAAAAGGAAGTAGCAGCATGACGATTTTGGAGTCGGAAAGCTTAAGGAATCGGCGTTGTATAATGCGGAGCGTTAAGCTCAGTGTATTCAGCGTTTTGTAGCTTTTTTCCATTTATAGCAGATGCCATGATTCTCAGTTTTCTGCAACTTCCATAAGCTCCGATGGCGCGAGGTCCTATCTAAATTAGGGTTTCGAGTTTTGCGTCCGGTTGTTGACAGTAAGCATTGCTGCAGATAGTTGGCCCCCAGTAATGCCCTCACGTCGAACTTATGCGCTAGGCTTTCATAGATTCCTAAGCTTTGAAGGTAAACGCGTTATCATTACACCATCATGGAGTCAAATCTACCTACAAAACATCCATGTAACTGGTAACGAGAGTTTAGTATAGCTATAATCTGAAGTTGGGCTTAATCTCACAGTGCTCTCAATCGGTCGTTGGTTACATTATTGTTTCTGTGACCATGCACACTGTTTATGCGTCTGTGGTCTCTTTAGTATATCTAGTACAAGTCTAAGTAGATCTATATTCGCAGGAAGTTAAACTTTATGGATTTTGATTCGTTAGCACATTTTTTTCTCAGAATCGAGCGAAGACTATACATACAAGTTACTATTTTTCAGCGAAGGGTGTATTGATTCGTCGTCCTTCTACATAGCTATACGTAACTGATCACACTTTAAATATGGCCGGTAATTGCATACGCAGTAAAACGACCGCTGATCCATGCACCATAAATGTCAGGTTGGATTAACTGTCAGGCCTCTTAGCTCTTACTCAGTGCGTTGTCTAACTAGGTCTAGGTTGAAATTTCTGGAAAGACAGGACACATAAGCAATACAAACAGAATTCGCTTTCACTAATAGCTTTCATTCAAGCTCAATTTTATATAGCATTGTATTGTGTTAAAGTGAAGGGATTATATCTTATGTATGCTGTGTACGCAACAATCCGACAGCGACCTGAGCTCTAACCCTTAGATCCTTTGGCGGAAGGATACACTATTGAGAAACGTGATGGTAGGTCAATTAGATTTTCTTTATTATCTAATTATTGCTTGTTTTTTTTAGAAGCTTTTATTGGTTTCACGACGATTGTACTATTGTGCAAAAATCTATATGTTTCTAAACTACCCGTAATGTGTAGTGGTAACGCGCCTCTTTACTAAACTCAGGGCCATGATGTCTAAAGGGAATACCGGACGTACAACTCAAAACGTTAAGGACGTTAAAGATGCTGAATTGGTGCTTTTGACTCGAGAGTTGCTGATATGAACAGTCATCAAACGGCCTTTTGACATCCTATATGTATGGTTATCGTGCTTTTTGAACAATTGGTTTTCCGCTGTTCATCGAGTTTTTCGAAGTTATGCCCATACGTATCGCTGTGCACATTAGGCACACAGTACAATAGTTTCGTTTCTACACTCTTTTTGGGGCCCAGGGATAACTTATGATTCAACATAACTTGAAATTACTCAAGATCATTTCGATTTTTCGTTGCAATGTTGAAGAACGCCAAGCCAAGCCGGTACCGCGACTTGAGCATTTCGGAGAAGACATCCGCCAATTTCCTTTCGACGATTGGAGAAAGGCACTGATTTTCTTTCTCCAACAGGTCGAGGAACCTCTCAGTACTATTATCTAATATAAATTCTGCAAGTTTATTCCTTTTACGGCTTACTTCGTATCTTGAAGTTTCTAGATTAGGACCAAGTCCATCGAACATCCTGCTGTTGAACGAAACCGAAGAATACACTAAAGAAGACCTGCAAATTTCATATCGAAAAGGAACTCACCACTATACAACATCATCGGAAAAGGTGGAAACAGCAGCAACTGCCTCGGTTACACTTCGAGATGAGGAACTGTCACAGAACAATATCCTGGTGGCCATGAATGGTTAATATGCGTGAAATCAGATTCTCAAACGATGGTTAGTAAAACAACTTGAAAAAAAAACTTAGCGTAACCAGCCGCTGAGCCGTATCGGTGCTATGCATAGAAGTTTATTTGCACATTCAATGAGAAATAAATCAAATTATCGTGAAGTGGGTATGTCCATCGACCGTGGGAATGATGGCAACGGTTCGCATTGTGGCAGTCAATTTATACATCCGGAAACGTATCGAGCAAACGCTTCTAAGTTCCACTGACATAACATAATACCATATTCGAAGACACTCATACGCACAATCAAGTTTTTAAGTTAACTCAGTTGTACAAAACTTTAATTTTCCATCGCGCGCCTCTACCGAATCAGCCGATGCAAATAACAACTGTATAAAAATATATTCCACCTTCAAGCGAGCTGCACTGCTTTAAATGAAACTATAACAATGTATACGTGAAGGTTTCACTTTATTAAAAAAAAAAGAAAAAGATCTTTAATAAAAAAAGGCCTGTGAAACAAAATGTACCTTCATTTTTTTGACGTTGCTGCTCAACGAAATCTATGAAACGATGAATACTTACTCTAATAATATATATAATAAATAGAGGAATTTTCTGGTTTCTTTCCGTCTCATACACAACAAACTTCAAACAATACTTCGTCACGAAGTATTGTGATAGGAGACGGCAAATACTTTGGCTTAATATATACGAAGTGGATTGGTTTAATTGGAATCTTCTCGATGGAATGTAAAGGTAACGACATTGACGGAAGAGAATTCTCACTTATGAAAGAATTACCTAGGTACCTGTCAAAAAGTCTACTTAGTATACCGAGTAAAACGCAGCTAAGAAAAAAATTAAATCCGTCTTTCGTTCTTGATTCGCTTGCCCACTTCGAGTTAGGCCACTTACGTTAACTGAACCAAAAGATTCCGCCTCTGTATCATGCTAAAATCGTTTAAGGAGCTGGCAGATTCCAGTAAAGAGTCGAAGATCTCCCGCATGGTGCATCGAATAGATCGGCCGATTAACGTCAGTCTCAATTAGGTTCTCTATCATAGGCATGACGTCACGACGGCAGCAGTAACGCTTGCTTTACTACCTATGCGAAACCATCTGAAGGAACATCAAACCTAACAAAAAAAGACGTCACAAATGACTTGTAAATAAGAGAGAATGACGTTTGCAATATTTCTTTATTATACAATGCCCCACCGCGGTTGCGGACATGAACTCAAAGCAAGTAGGGCTAGAAACCTAAGCCAACGAACTACACTTCATGAAAATGATTAAATCAACAGCTAGATAGGCTGCCCACAACGATTTACGTGCGGGGCCCATGCCAGCCCGTTATTAGTGACAAACCCTTGACGTTTGCTGTTATTAGCGAAGGTAAAATAAACGTTTGTATAGTTCTCTTGGGTTAAACAGTAGCTGGGTGACCCCTTTGCCGTAAACCACAAAGCCCCTGACCCACAAGTGCGTAATGCTAACTTCAACAATATGGGTGTAAACTTTTTCATTCGTAGTTGAATACTGTCGATGTGCAATACGATAAGATTTACGAGTATTCAGATCAGAGATACGAAAAATTTGAAGATAATTGCGTAGCATTATAAGGATCAACAGGTTAATGAAGTGTTGCACATTACTGTTCAAGCTGCCTCAGCAAATACAGGATCCTATAGCTTTAGCAGCTCCCAAGTATTTCTGATCTTATTGCTTCGCATTGTTAGTTTCTTGCTACACAGGCGTGCTAAAATGTATTGATAACAGGAAAACTAGCGGCATCAGAATGATAGAAAAATCGGCCGTTAGCGGAAGTCATTGGCACAGCACAACGCAATCCGACACAGAAAAGCCCCTTTAGCCGCGTAACCAATCACTCGCTACTTAATGTTCTGGTTAAAAGTGTTTCTTACTGCCGCTGACGGTGAGTGATGGAGACCTTCGAGTGCAGAGCAGGTCTCCATTTACCTAATCAGTTTGTCATAACAACGAGATATAGCGCACGGCGAGCTCAGATTACCGAACGCTTCAAATCTGTATGATCTTATGATGGCTATATTTGTTTAAAAAAAGAAATAGGTGGATCGAAAGCAAACTAGAACTTCGAAAGCGGTGTAACTACGCAAATGAATTATACTCAATATTAACGACTGTGTAACAGCTTTATAAAGGTCAAAAGAAATACCTCGTGAAGTTTTAAGGGCCTCATAAAAACGTGGCGGTACTCTGTCAACAAGGGCTAAAACCGAAATTCGATGGCATTTATTACGGCTATTTGTACATAGAAGAAATCTTGCTTGATCCATACGTGTTAACCGAGGCACGCTAATGTTAAATTGCTAGCGTAAATACTGGTGTCGTTCCTTATCAAATGCGAGATAGCAGTTTCGAACTTTTCCCAAGCAAGTTCTTTTATTTTAAATCAAAGTATGCATTTTTATTATCTACGACCATAGTTGGTAGTTTAGTTATTCCCCAGCTGTAGAAGTCCGGCATGTGAGGGGAGTAGTTTACAATTAGGATTAATAGAAAAATCCTCCGGGGGGCAAATGCGTAGATGAGCAATGCTAGATTATAGCACGAAAATAAGCGAACAGTTCTTGTGTTCTCTCAGCGTATGAACTCATTAAATTAAATAGCATGTTTATTAGTACAATAATACTATATCTAAGTTTATTTATCAAATTAATAAAAACAAATTATAACTGTCAGATTCGAAAGCACGATGGTCTTAGATGTCACAAAAGTAATCCGAACATTTTTTCTGGATTCGGAGTATAAGTGTTACACTCTAGTTCTTCATACGACTGCACTCTTGCTGTTCAAATTAACTGGCCTCACGCCAAGGAATAAGGGGAAATGAGCCAGAATCGACAGGGGGAGTACAACGGGCCGATTCACGGAAACGCGACCGAAGTACTTCAAACACCAACTGAGAATCACAGCCGTAACCACCGCCATCCTTGTGCTCTTCCCGCTCACCTCCGCAAAGCAGCATTTTGAATAGAGATACTTCCTTTTCTAAAGAGTAAGGCGAACCAGAGGACCTATGAATAGGACAAAATCAAGGCCTTGCTTATTGACTGGCTACAGGATTGACCCGGAGTCGATGGGAACACATCATATATTAGAAAGATTAATAGGCACACGTTTGGCTTTGCTATAAATACAAACCTGCGAAACTCCCGAGTTCACAGTTAAATATTTAGCAACAACTATAATATGTTATTACTGAGAGTTCCCGGAACAATTATTTGCCAGTTACATCTCCTTTCGTTAACGATATCTTACTTTAATATATGTACAGCAGGCTTTCTAATAGAACCTCGTCGGAGTTATTGCTTCTTCTAGGGCTGTGCGCAGAGCCCGATAAAGGACACTCTGTGATCTGCTGACGACAGGAAAAAGGAGAACGGCCGGTCCAAATTGAAGATGATCGGAGGTGGTACTGCTACAGACATTGCGCACAGCATAAGCTGCATAGCTGTGGCTGACGCCGCTTCTGTACCTTTTTCGTCGACAATGATAACAGCCCGATGGATGACGTCGGACACACCCGCCTTATCCTTGACCTGAGGCATTTCAAACGAATCACACATACATACAAAGCAAATTACCGTTCTGGTTAATGGCAAGTACTATGACAAGTCCCTTGTAAAACCGCTTGCAGAACCATTCATTAGCTTTCGATGCGACTGGCCTTGCTCAGCAAGGCCATTTTTTTTTTTTGTTCGAGTAGGAAAGCTTCTTCATAATTAAAATAGCAAGATCGCAGCGCCGAAGTTTCTATGCGGATGCCTCTTTTGCCTAATTACTTCGTAAATATTGATAGAATGGAATTATCTGGGTTTGGAGCAATGGGGAAGCTCGATCTTACAGAATATTGCGATCGACCAAACTGCACCCAGGGAGATATCGTTTAACAATAATCTTATATAGAACAATAATTTGTTTTCATTAATTCCTTCTTAGCTGTAACTATTTGCATGCCGTTGTCGCGCGAGTCCTTCACATTTAGTACAACAAAACCTGTGTCTGAAATTGCGCCATTCGGTTTTAAAGTAGTGCTGCAAAGACCAAGATCTGCGCACGCTCTCAGCATCTGGAACTCTGAGGTTTCCAAGTGTTACCATCATTTCTTACCCCCCAATACACTCGGTGATCATCTCAATATGTTCGTATATTATTATATAACAGAAGTTTTATGCACAATAACTTTACTCTGCAATTCAACAAAAACATTTGTCACTGTATTATTGAACCCATGTGAAACACAAACATCGTAAGATATTTATTACCATTATACCCTACCCAAATCGTATGGTCAGGATGATACGAAATTCAACGACATTACGTCACAAACAGTCGCCTGTTTTTGTTTATTGATTTTGGGTTCACAAGCGAGTACCGCTTGACATCGGACTTTCAGCTTTTCATATTTACATTTCGACAACATTAGATTAGGTCAGAAATGCAATGCGACAGCTCCAGTCATCCTAAACTGCTAAACGTTCAGCTATAACCCTTCTACACACAACGAGATGACCAAGGGCTCATTCGAAGGCTCGAGCGCGTTACTGTTGCCTACGTAACTATTGCCGCACTCCGCAATTATAAATTTGTGTGCGCATTCCTGTTATTAGTGTGATGCTACTTCAGGCCAATATGGGCAAACGGCATTTAAAAACTACCTTACAAGACCCAAATTACTGTGAGTAATACTTGGCAGACGTCAGAGTTGATGAGATACGTACACTTGTATTCCTAATGTGCGACCTGCTTCAAGGATATTGCTTTGGGTCGACAATCGTAGACTTTCTGAAAGGACATGTACGGGATGGAAAAGATAGGAGTACGGTACGGAAATGTGAGGGAACTATTTGCGCATAAACGCGTAAATACATCTCCTTCCTGTACGCTTAAGAACGACGCTTACCGCTACGCTAACTCTTAATCTTACATTGCCGTTTTACGACTCGTTCTGTAAATGAGCGATCCCGATTGGCCCCCTTTTCTAACACCAAAATGACAACCGTGACGCGCCATCAATCAACATATTACGTTTATTATCTATAAAAACACTATCCAGCATGACTGAGGCGGTCATGTAATGTATGTCGATGTTTATTCAGCCATAATAACTTGTTGTTTTACAGCCCCGGCACTCCATCGCTTCCCTTTTCCGAATTTTGTCCAATTCCATGTCAAACCATTTTTGCTTTCAGGCCATTAAGGCTGCGTACAGATGCCTACAAATGACACAGCACCGTTTGTTAACGATACAGTAAAGACGAACGGCTGATCCAAATTGACGATAACCGGACGTAGTGGTCGACGGGGCCCCGCGCGTAAACGAATCTGTACTTCTGTAGTGGCGGCCGCCGATGTGCCTTTTTCGTCCACCTCGACAACTGCCTGGTGGATGAGCTCAGATATCATCATACTGCCCGCGACCTGAGAGGTCACAAGAACATGCAGCGGACCGCGATGATTTACCAGTCGAACACACAAACACTATCAATTACATAAGTCTCTAATCAGGTTTATTAACTTTCGGTTTAGTTGTACCTTTTTGCATAAAGTTGAAACAGCATTGATTATATATATATATATATATAGTTTACTATACAGAGTACCTAACATGAAAATAAACACGCACATTGTCTGTTCAAATTATGCTTTTTACGTCTAAAGTACTAACGATCATGTAGACTACACTTTGAATATCCTGAAGAGTTTTTAAACAGTGTACACTTCAATATCAAAGTATCGAGGCCCAAAAAATCTAAATAGCTGTACCTTAACCTATCATGTTGTTTGCATCTTTCTAAGTGCTTTAGCCACTAGCAAGGCTTAACACCCAGTCTGCTTGCGAAGTTGACAGCCGCCAATGGACCCGTTATCATTTCGAACTTTTAACAACGAGTCGCGAACAGATAGGACAATCCTTATCTACGACGATTGTGCGTCACATCTGCCGAGGGTCGTCAACGCCGCTTTGCAAGAGCTTGAGCGATGATTTCGTTTGTACCCACCATACTATTGATATCCTGCGAGAACGATTACCTAGTTTTTCGATTATTGGCGAATGGGACTAGTAGCCCTAGATTTGACAGCGGAGAGGACCTCAAAAACTGCTTGAAACCTGGTCTACAATGCCAGATTTGAAAATTGCCGTCGAGAAGAATAAATACACTGCCTAAGGGACCATGAAAGGGTCATGAAAGTCACGAAAAACGTAGAGTAAGTGCCTCTAGCCACCGTTCGAATGAAATATTTCGCTCTGTAATGAGTGGAGGCACGACATTTCACAACATAAATCGGCTGCAGAATTTAATACTTTACTTTCAACAAGTGACCAATATCGCTGATCATATGGCCCTTATAGGTATTCCGACATCTTTGAGTGGGCTGGCATTTTGCCCAGGCAGCAAACTGTAATGCATATTGTAACCTTTCCGCTAAAGAACATATTACACGATGAGAAATTCTGGCATGTATTCAGATACAAAAACTGCATACTCATGTTAGACCCCTATGACCATATGTTCTATTAATTAGTAATTCTGTATATCTCGCTTGTAACATCAAATAAGCAAATTTCAGATTTGCCTCAGGAGAATTGTAAAGGGCAGCCATCTGCCACCATAAACATCTTTCATCGACAACAGGCCTGGTTTGGACATTGACAACATAAAACTTATGGCATCTAAGCGCACTGTTACATAGGGAATACAGTGCAGGTGGGGAAAGGTGCATGTGGATTAAGCACAGTCCATAGAATGAAACAATAGAAAGGCAGTAGAATAACTCTGATGCGCTTGACACAACCCTGTACTTTTATACAAAAAAAAAGTTAAGAACTTCGCATGTGAGATGTGTGAAGAAGAAAAAACGTGTCTCACTGATTTGCTCTGTTTTGTCTCTCGAGTTTTTAGCTGTCTGAACTTCTGAAGTTCCTTTTTTTGTTCCATAACATGAACATGTTCATTTTAACAAGAGTTGTTAAAGACCTTTCTTTAAGTGATTGAATACGCTATGAATTTCTTAACGAGCCTTGTAGACGACAGGTCAAGGTCCTATGTTTTAGTGTCACCTGAATCTGACTTGCCTGAATACGGGGCCTATTCAATACGCCGAGTACTAATGGATTCATCCAATCACAGTATGAATTACCGCTTATGTTATGCCCACGTACTAGCATCGTCTCCATAAAAAAGTGCTATTGACACTGAGGCGAACTAATTAGTAATAGCATATGAATCGTCACCTGCCCAGGTTTCACACGCAGAGAATCGGTTTAAATTATGTATGTAAAAATAAAAGTCTATTGTGTGCCCATGTATCGCAAGTGGGTTCAACAACATATTATACATATAACTACAAGCGGAAGCGGTTAGGGATAAAGGAAAACCAATATCATATAAGGCTGTAAGGTTCTGTAATATCGGTTGAATATCCTGCCGTCCTTAAGATGTATTCTGCATGTAAAAAGCTACAATTTAGCGTCCATTTTTTTTCATGTTATTTGGTGTCGAACAATTAATTGAACCATTGTGTAACGGCTTAAATATCTGGAGTGAATAGACTATGAAAGAACCTTTTCCATTATAATCACGAAACTAATCGAGAACCCTAGGTAGAAAAAACTAGAGGAGAAAAACTCAAGGCGCCCCAAATAGACCAAATCGAGTAGTTGAGCTCAAAGGTCACAAAATTGGCACAGAAACACGGATATATGCGCATATTCCCCGATTTATTTTTGCAGGAACTGCTATTGTAGCCTAGATGAGGCATGAGTGGGTAATAGTTTCCATCGCCATCAATTCGGCATAGAATTAGGAAGCTAAATCCGCAATGAAACGTAGTCGAAATAAATACTTGACAAAAGTGCATCATCCAGAGAGAGGCCACATTTTCGCGCGTTATACCTTCAGGCTTAAAACTCGACTTGGTACGTTGCTTTATTGATTTTCCTAATAATAAACGACAATCAGACTCGCGGGAATAACGGCTTACGTCGCAAATAAAGATGATATAAGCAAATGTTCTCAAGAACAGACACGACGGATCTATCTTGAGCGCATTAAAATCTTCGAAAAAAATCTTCATTTACCTCTTCAAATAGGTCCCCGAAATCTCCCTCTCCAACGTTGAAGATCTTTGTCACACCAAGGGCCTGAATGTGCCTGACGACGTTTACGTACTTGTAGTCAATTTTGAACTTTGGCATTGTAAGCACCACCTGCTGTATGCGCGCGTTGTTTAGCTTTTCTACCGCCTGGGCCATCTCGGCCGTAGTCATCTTCGCCATGATCTCGTCTAAAGCAATATAATAAATCACATGACATGTGATAAACCTTTATTAGACCAGCCATTCATTACCCAGTATATCCTCCATTAGAGCTCAACTTAAGAGTTCAGGAGCTGTGCCATTGCAAAAGAACAAAAGCTGCGATACTACACTTTAAATGAACCTAGTCAGCGTAATTTAATAAATGACCATGAGAGAATAGTACGAACATTTGTAAATATTTTACGCTAAAAGCTTTAACTATTCAATAGAGGCAGTGTAATCTGCAAAATATATCTCACAGCGTTTCAAAAGAAGATTTCGGTCAGTAACGTAAGTGATTGTGTCAGAAAGCACCGTTAAGCGGCAATGAGTTTCTCTGGATTTTTAGAGACTTTTAGATTCTCGACAACTGCATGCAACGTTCTTGAACTGTTCGCCCTATATCCTCGTGGTGCTTTCTGAAAATCTAATTTTACATCGAGGCTTCGAACCCAACATTTCCCGCAGATGGTCTATAGAGTGGCAATGTCCTAAGGAAGATACGTAACAGGGAATTTCGTTGTCGTTTATTTAAAATCGTTACTGAAGTTTCTGTTGCGGCTGTTCTGGTTCTCTTACGAAGGCGAAAGTTACGAAAACTTGCAACGAGCTCAAAGAATGAAAAAGCAAAACTTCCATAGTAATTTTCATAATCTTATGGATCTGGTACGTTGCTAAAAATTGAATTTTCGAATACGCTTGAAATAAGTGTTCGAAACGCAGCACTGCAACTTCCAAAATTAATCTCAATAATAAGAAAAAAAACTCGTAAGACTTACAACAGAAGTACGGTGAGTGTCCGCGACACTCGTTCCTTTTTATCGATTTTATACAAATAGCCCTTTCAGCATAATACATTTACAGCATAATAAAGCCTGCCTGTGAAAATCGAAGCGCTTCTTTTGAATTCAGTTGAAAGCATTGGCTACACTTACCGATGTACCTATTTTCATCCTTGGGAATCGCGACGACCATATAGCACCCAGCCTCCTTATACGGAATTCTAACCATTCTAAGCTGTTCCGTCTCGAGGTATTTAAAATGGCTCGACTTTTTTGTCATAAATTCCTTCTTCACCTTGGTCCCATCACGAAGCTTAAACTCCATGTCGTATTGCACGGGGGTAAACTCGTGTTCCCAGGTACCTGTTAAAAGTAAACTGTTCTTGACAACGGATCGCGGCGGACTATCCTGAACAGCCGTATCCAGTGTTTATTATAATCGCACCGTTTTGAATAGTTGATGGTTAGAATCTAAGACTACGATGTCGTTTTATCACGGCTTGCATTAAATGTGTGAAGTAATGTCAATTTCATCAATTTTGCTTACTATTATTGTTGCTGTGTCAATATTAGTTTTAGAATTTTGCTAGAATATTTTTGTGCAGAGCACCTCAAGCTTCAGCAATAACTTCAACAAATTTACTCTGAAATATGACCGAAGACGGCGTGCACGTCGATGTAACTGTTCAAGAGATTTACCTTTGAAGTAAATGGCGTTCAAGAGTACTAGAACGGTGTCCGCAGTCAGCGTTCCAGGACTAAGAAGCTGTTTAATCATGTCATTGGTTTTGGACGCCACCCACTCATTAACTTCGCCTTCAATCGTTTTGCTATCTGTCGCAAAATTTACGATCTCAACTTCAGATTCGTATTTTTCCTGCAATAGACAAAGGAATGGTCCTTTATTAAATGAGACTATGACCGCTATGGGAATGATGGGACTAATCTCAAACCTCTTTACAATCTTTTCATTTCCTAATAACTCATGTTTAGCACGCAGAAGGGCGCGTTGGAAAGATGCATTCACATCTTATATTATTACAAGTTATAGATTCAGTCTCTAGCCTACACTTGGGGTGTATTATAGGTTACTTGGCTTAGTATTCAGTAAGTCAAATTATTATGTACTTACGTGTTATTAGCACGAACATAATTACTTTTCATACCCGTAGTACATCGAAATCCGTACCAATTCGAGGTGTTGTCCCGGAAAGGTAAAACATAACACTACAGCTACAACTGTCCATACGTACAGGTACAACTCGTAGACTAGATAGCTTTTACCAGTTAGATTGAAAAGGACAGAAATATTCTATCTTTTATATATATATATATATATATATATGTATGTAATACTGGAAGAAATACTATTATAAATAATTATCATTTTCATAGATACCCAGTAGGAAAATACTTGGGATGAAGTACTACTATTTTGCCAAGCGAAAGTCTAGCAATAAATATTACCCTAGAACTCCGATACTCATAATCCTACTTACCCTCATTAATTTTTCAAAATTTTCTTTCACTTTACAGGTATGTTGGGCCAGGTACTTGTTTGCGATTTTCAGAGGTAGATTTTTATCTTTGGTGATCTCAGAATACATCTTGTGCAACGCATCCTCATTGGCACAGCCTAGAAAACCGAGCACCTCTTTCTTGGTGTCACCTATTAACATCAAAATTCAATATGGGTTACATTTAAGTGGCCACATAAATAGTAAAGGTCAACAGTGGTGAAGATATCTGACGGGTGACGCCATCCAAGCTTCTTGCGTGCTTTATGTAATCTCATGCATATATATATATATATACATATATATGTGTGCGTGTGCAAGACCCATCTACACAAATTTGCCCTCAGCACATTTTTATACCGCCGTATACAAGATAAAAAAAAATACAAATCAGTTTCAAATACAAAAATTTCCTAGCCCTTTAAATAATATGTAACCAGTTTTTTAATCTAGTTTCAAAAAAATAATAATCAAGTATTTAAGGTATAACCTACCCTTGAGTCCCGCCACGAGCATTGTAAAGGCCATTCCAAGACTAAGTGGGGAGAAAACGAAGTTTTCCTTTGTTTCCGCACATAGTACCTTCATTAAAGTCATCCCCAAGGCAAAATTCTCTTCCGTTGTTGGTGCCATCTCGAATTTTTTTGAGTTCAGCTTTCAATACTAGGACAAAACGATACGGAATGACGTTATGGTAAGACTACGCTGAATGGAAAGGAGCACTGAGGAGTCGGGACAGCTCTCAACTTAGTCCTTTTCGAACTCAAGGAGCAGGTAAAGCAGGCTTTAAGCAGGTAAAATATTTGCATTTTACTAATTGCTCGACGTGTGTCTACTTTGGTTTTGTTATCCTCTATAGTAATTTCGTTTCACTCCTGCCTGGTAAAATAAATTCGACAACTATCACAGTATTTGCAATCTTTTTAGGCTTGACATGATTAACGAACGAATCTAAAATTAGGGACGGTCTAAATACCCCACCCTCGTGGCCATAGGCAATACTATCGAATATCTGGAAAATTATGTTACGCTAACAACATTTATCAAGAAAACGACCACTATTCAATTGGGTCTCCTATCGTCAGTACTAAACGGTTCGTAACATAGACGTGGTTGTGCTTCCATATTTTCCACAAAATTCCAACCAACCGCATTTATTAGGATAGGACGTCTTTAGTGACGGGTAGGCAAGCGGAGGCCTCAGTCCAACACTGCATTGTCATTACCAATATAGAATAATAATGGCATGGGCTAGATTCGAACCCTCTCGCAAAGATAGGCTGGTGTAATATCATAAGAGGACAAAGCTCTACCTAAGAACTTGTTCCATTTCAGCAAGCGCCTTCTATAACAGGCCTCGGCACCGCTGTTTAGCATATCGTCAAGGATTTTTTGTCGGGGTAGAGAGCTCGATAGGATTTATGAATCCATGAATGTTCTCAGTTCCGGTATTGCCGTTAAGCATTGCCTTAGACAGCCGGCGCCCTACTTAAAGCGTATATACTTTCACGGGCAAACACGCCATCATAAGACAATACCTCTAGATATTTCTTTGCGATTGCTTTTTTAGGAGCGCCAACATTGCCTCACGTATTGATTACATTTACAGGCAGGGCAGGCTATTTACTTAGCGTCGTTGCAGAATAACTTAATCCCGTTAGTGGAAAACGAGCAAACGTAGAAGAGGTATGCTTGTTTACATATATACAGCCATATTGAAATAAACAGGCCTTTGAATAACCCAATTTTGCTCGGTTAAATACATAAAGTGTATTTTCGCCAATATCTAAAGGCGCTTCACGTGAGAACAATTATATTGCAGCGTTTTCTTCAGGTATTTTCGATAGTGTAGCTTTCTCTACAGGGTAAGTTTGATACCATATCTGCACAGACAACTTGCGCAACTATGTTTCAACAAGTTAGGCAACTCTACGAATAAATTTATGTTCTCTGAACATGTTATTTTTCTCAGTTTATTCTATTCCACTCTATTCAACAATTTATCCTCACGGCACTGTGCCAGGCAAGCGTTCGTATGAACGTTAGCTGATTTGATATCCTTGATAATTACCATGTTAAAACGGATCTGGATTGTTTAGCGTTGTTACACGTCGCTCGTACGCATTTCGATTGGCAGAGATTTATGAGCTGATAATGTAATTTGACTGACATTGATCTTGAGATATTATATATGCATGATAACCATCTATAAAAGTGGGGGGTCCATCAGATCGTGTTGTGGTACACGTAAATTAATAGCAGTGCGACACAAATTTAACGTCGACATAATAAAGCATGAGCAAACCTATATAATCTCGAAAATTGTAGCCATACATGAAATTGTTATTATCGACCCTACATAAGCAAACACCTCTAACAAGGTCGTTATCAAAAATTGTACCAAAAAAATAGCATCATTGGTTAGACTTAAAATAGATTCAGCTAATGTGATACTATACTCCGAATTTATTGTAGAGCTAATGGTTGGTCGTTGCGACTGCCACACGTCACAATTACAATGGATGCAAAATTAGAAAGCACTCTTTAAGAAAATATCTGTTAGCCTATCGCTAAGAGCCAACGATGAGGATCTGAATTTGACAAGTAACGTTGACTGGAGTTCCAGTGAAACGCCTAACGTAGACGGAAAAAGATAGTTACAAGAAGAAAATTGGCTCAACGAAGCGCAATAGAGAACAGCCAGCTACTTCCATCTCCGACCATCTTAGCAAGGCTGTCGAGGCTACGAGTAAATATAAGCAAACGTTGGCCCTTAATTGGGCACCGAAGAAAACGAAGCCAAAGAAAACAGAAACAGAGTTAAGAAGATACCATAATCGGATAGTAATGTATTTTCTCACTGAACTGTTTCAAATGAGTATCAAAAATAAAAATATCAGCTAATGAATGAATGAAATCTCGAAATGGAACTTCAATGCACATATTAGCAAAAATTATCCGTACAAAAGTATATGCTGTCGACTGTTCGACCGAACGACGTTGCCGGTATGACACATCTTCGAGCAATATCAGAAAATGCGTTGCTCAAAGCAACTAAAAAGACGAAAATATGTCTTCCGACAGAAATGTGTCCATGGCGCCATCTATCTCCAGGATCACAACCGACTTCGACAAAAGCAACCCACAAATCACTACATAGTAGTCCTATAGTATACAAGATGTAGGAACGCGATAGGTTCGTAATGAGCTGCTCTAGCTTAAAAGTAAAACGATGTAACTTTTAAGCCATATCATACATGTAAGTTAAGCTGACATATATATATATATATATATATAGCTCGAGTTAAAACCAGTTATAAGAATTAACAAACCCGACAGAATGACACTTTTAAGATGTAAGCAAACAGCATCAATGTATTATCACTTTGACCAAGACCAAAGTCGTGTACGCTCCATAGCAGACACATAGTCAAGACGAAGCTTCGGCTTATAATCAGAGAAATTCGTACAAACAAAAAAAAAACTCAAACAACTTTTACATAATATAGAATTACCACTAGAAAACTTCAAGATCAGGCTCACATTTGGTCTATGTTCTGCGTCCTTTTTTGTGCTATACTTTTTACAAGCTTTTCTACGAATGTTTCTAACAGTATTCTCAGTCTGTCCGCTACTCAGTGGGCGTCAAACAGCCAAAACCATAAGTCGTTGTTCATTCCTCTCATAGGAGTAGTATAACGTCGTATTATTTGAAGCAATTGACTTACAATTTTTGGTAACACCCTGAGTCAATCAATAACACGTGACACAAAACACTCAGGAGGCTGTCAGAGGTTTGAAGGCTGTCAGAGAAGCCCCACTGCTACGATTCGCTTTCAATACAAAGTCGAGGCGCTCGATTCAGAGTGATAGGCCTAATAGCAAAGACAGACAGGCAAGAGCGAGAGATGCGCACGCATTCATTGGGCGAGAGCGACTTGCAGCCCTTTCCACTCTTTGAGCTCCTGACGGCGTTGAAATGGACAATATGACCCACCGGCCGAAACAAACAACGGAAACGTTACTCGCGTCAAGCAGGTATCAACGACGAATAGAAAGTGTACTATTGACCTACGAAAAATATTCTCCTTTGGAGGATTCTAAATAATGGAGATAGGAAAACGAAAGACTGCCCGCTTTTTGGTTGAGAATTCGCTTCAGCAGTCGCAAACTATAAAAGGCCTTGTTACTGTACGTATTTTATACACAGCTCTCTACAAAGCCGAATGTTTGTCGCCCTTACATTGTTGCTAATCCTTTGCATGCTTTAGCGAAAATTCGATGAACAAAACCGTGTTTACTATATAAACGATCTGTTCGGTTCCTGTTCTAGCAAAGAGTTTTTGAAAATTGGATTTTGGCATACAGTCTGTTATACGTACGTCTTTTCCCCTCGAGTTCCTGCAGAGCAACTTTCACAATCCTCGCTATATGCGGTTTCGGATTGCCATAGAAAAGGATGACTTTCGGCTTTTTTTCTAGCGTCAAATGGGTCCTATGCGGATCCTCGTTCACCGCCTTGGTCTCCTCAATCAGTTCCGAATTTGGAGAACCCTTCGTCGTCTTAAGATACATCTTTGTATCCATTATAACTATGGACTTAGGCCCATCCTCAGGAATCACTTTTCCTTTTTTAGTTCTGCATAGAGACACCATTCTCATCACGAGTAAAATTCTGTGTAAAAATCTACTATTAAATTGTTTGTTTTTTGTTGGACATTTGGCAAATGATTGGGTAGCAACGCCACAGCCTAAAATTGGAAACATGTAAAATTTTTCAGGCGGTAGCTCGCGTGCATTGGTGAGTCTCAAGGAATGGGCTATTTTCAACAAACGAATTTTGACTCTGGTCGGTAGCAGGATATGATTTCCAGTTTAAATATAATTTTATTACCAAGTGACTAGGAGCATACTTTACAATAACTTACCACTAAATATAATTTGACTACGCAGTACGTTTGTTATTAACACTAACGTTATTACGTAACAGGATTGTCTTATTTGATTGGTGAAATACGCACAATCAATACTTTCGGTCCAATGAAACGAAAGGGGACGAGATCACAGGTGAAAGTGTCTTCACCAGGTAGCGCCGTCGACGTTACGCAAGCCATATTAAACAAAAACAACTATTAACTGCTAGAATTCTTGCTATGCACGATACAGATTTCGCAGGCTACTTCAACAGCCTTTAATCTCGGAAAAAGGCGCGGTGAAGAGGGCATCAAAAATGCATTTTTTTCAATTCGGGACCCCTGTGATTAAAACCTGAGCCCAGTAAAACATTACCATGTAATAAAACTGCAGCGAACTTACAGAGGAGAAAAAGCACTTTTGAGTGGTATATAAAAGTAAAGAATTAAAAAGAAAGAGAAATGGATAAATACATAGGAATATTATTATAAAATAAATATTTAAATTTATATAGGTTATAGGTAGGACTCTTGTATTTAAATTTTATAATATATATAGTAGGTAAACAAGTCGAGTGAAAGCAATTAGTTCAAAAGGAAAATAGGGTGGTCAAGTTTACGTTTCCCAAACAACAATAACGCATTGCCGCAACCCAAGAGGCTTTTCACAAAAGCAGAGCTTCACTCGGCCAAAACTGGAATTTCAAATATAACCTATTACAGAATTATGACTGAATAAAAATGCTGAAAGTGGATTTTTGGGAATTGGCTCCAGGTCCGTTAAAAATGCGCGTGGTGTATTTCAGATGTAATTTGCGGAACTTCAGTCAGTGGAATAATCCATGGATGAGGCATAGTTCAATCTCTACCGCTAGCCAGAGAGGAACCAGGCGTGAAAGCGCTGTCGCCTTGGACAGAAATCGAATTCTGCGGCAATTTTAAAGAAAGACGTAAAATTCTAGTGAGGCTTGTAACGGACATCAGGGGAACCTGATGATACTGTCGTATATTCGTCAAGAATGAAATGATTAATGTTGCTGCACTTGTGAAGCTGATTTTAAATCTTGTCCACAGCTTACTGCGTCCGGATACATACAAGTGTATATAAAGTTATTATACCACAGGTGTTATAATAGCTAGTGTCATAATGGCGCTCGAAGGGTTCACGTAGGCGAAACTTCTCACGAATGGATAAAGCAACCTGTGCGTTAATTCTACTGGTAAAGGTACAATAATACAACATTCTTAAAATTTAATTATATAAAGAATTGTAATTTTGCTAACAATATAATTTGTAATGCTTGACATGAATTCTTCACTTGGGACTTTGTATAGATTAACAGGTAAATTTGTCGTCAACATGTTGATACCACGTACTGGTTAATATAGATTGCAAATTAGGCAAAAACTTTTCATTTTTAAAATCGCCTTATAGATTTTTAGAAAAAGATGTACGTCGTTTGTAGTCCTTGAAAGAACAGAATACTAATTATTTTATGCGCAGTATGAACATTGCAAGAACGTTCGTTCTCGACAGGCGGAAAGTGGTCCAATTAGTTAGGCCGTTCTTCATCTTGGACGTTGAATTTTCAGGCATTTTTGATTCTTTTGCTAACATAGTGTAAATCAAAGAAGCAAGCATCCCCAAAAAAAATGAAAGAGAAACCAATGCTGTCAGCATGCGAAAAATCGGTATTTTTTATGAAGAGAGCAATTTGTCAAAAAAAAGCTTTAAGAAAAGCCAGTTTCTCGAAAGGACGCTGCTCAAACTAGCCCTTGTCACGTTCTTTTGTGAAATAGTATAGTATATAGATTTTTCTTGACTAAAAACTTGTAATTGGTTAAGCGTGTTTTCATCACATTCGAAGTATCATAATGAAAGTTGAACTTTTCATCTAATTTTTTGCATAGTTTTTATCTTATCGAGAAGACGGCCCGTAAGAGAGAACTAGTACTGTGCCAATATACTGAATTCGCAAAAAAATAAATGATTATGTCTGCAAACTATACGAGTCAGTGCAAAATACTTTGTGGGCCATTTTCAAACTTCAACATGTCTCATCGGGGTTCAGTCATCATCTGCTTTTTTTGAGCTACAAATCGTAAGCATTTCTTAATACAGCTAAAAAATTCCTAACAAGTTTGTTGCTATCTAGTTCTCTCGAGCAAGTCCTAACTTGTTATCTGTCCATGCCAATAAATAAATGAAGATTGCCATTAGGAAGACATAAAGAATTGCCACAAATCGAAAAAAACTAGCGAAGAAGACAAATCGCGTTTTCGTCTAGAAACTCAAACCAGGCCCGAAAGAACGCACAAAGATATACCTTTTAATGATGCTTTGAAGAAGGATAGTTAAAAATTAAACAATTTGAATGAACTCAATCTGAGGATGTCCATTTAATGTGTGATTATGTCAATGCATTTCTTCAATGGACCCTCGGCTAGTCGGCCAGTATTTTTTCCGGTTACTTAGTGCCCGCCAAAATTCAAAGCAGGCGTTTATGTATTTCGTGCATCGTTTAGCAATAGAAGCAGCGGACCGATTTTTATCCCAGTCTGTAGTGGGGCATTTCCAACGATGTTGCAGAGTTTTGAATTTCCTTACTTTTACGATCTATTACTCAATTGTATACTTATCGTATAGCCCTATAGTTAACTATGAAACAAGAAAGGTAAAAAGTAATAGTGTTAAAATGTAAAGCATTTCAGTTTGGCGTTTGATAAAGCGCGACCTATGATCAGGTGAGCAATCTACAACGTAACTCTGGCTATTTCTGTCGAAGATAATTAATGGGAATGACGAGAACCCGCTTCTCAGGATGACCACTCGCGTACCTGCAATAAGCATCCGGTGTGTTAAGATTTGAATAAAAAGCGAAGCAGACTTATCATTTCACCGCAATTAAAGATATCGCTTATTAAAGTATTTTAGAGCCAAGCGGATCAGCGCGGCGCGGTGCTACAACGTTCCAATATGTGTATTGCAACGACCGTGAGAGCGGCTATAAAAGGTCGGGCTTATGATAAATTTGAGTGACTGAATGGACAGCAAAGCAGACACAATAAGCTTTTTTTTTTTTTATTATACCGTCCGCGTTCATGAAAATGATTCCTTTATGTCAACTACTTGCTTCAAGTGACATCTTTACTAGAAGTCTTGCTAATTCACCAGCATATCACCATTCATTTTCTAAGCGGCTTTTAAAAGCCGCTTAGATAAATTCAATGGCCCCAAAATCGAGTGCTATTACTGAGCAGGGTACTTCTTGTGTGTATGTTTTTGAGTACGCACATTTAGTTATTGCTATTCAATGCAAGCATGTGTCTCAGTTCGGCTAATCAGATCGATTCATTAAATTATCTAACGAGAAGAATACCATCCTTTAAGAATGAACGAGTAGATACAGCGTAACGAAGGTACTCAAACTGAAACTTTTTCAGTGAAGTGGATAAAAGTTCAGAAGCACCTGCTGCTGCTGCTGCAGCTGCACTTCATCCTGCTGCAGTTGACTGACAGATCGGATTTTGTTTATTTTCATTTGGATTGCCGATACCAAATGGTCAAATGATTACACAACCAATACAATATAGACTAATTACTGATATAATAGCAAATAAGGTATTCTCAACTGTGGGAAAATGCACGAACTCGATCAAAATATGATCTGGACATGTCACGATTGCTGTTCTATTAAAATGGCATAGAAACATGTGATTTTTGTAAATAATGCTGCTGAATACTACCTTTATTGTCATGCAGAGTATGTTTTGTTTTAAACCTGTAGGTTATCACGCGAGCTCTTTATACAAAGGTATATTACAGTCATTCGTTTGGCTTTCATAGTTAAACTTAAGACTACTTGTTCTCTTAACTGCCTTTTATTAGTTCCTGCGTGACGCAGACGAGGAAACCGTGTCACGGAGATCGTGTCATCTGGACTGGCGCATGTAGAGACAGCTCAACCATCATACCCATATCTCTGTAAACTCTAGAGACGTTCGCCATGTTGAAGCCTCTTGTTGTTAAATCATTTCTTGCAGACATGTGGGAGAAACAATGCCTTGAGGTATTTCCATTATCTCGTTTTTTTCTTCATTCAGATTAAGTTGTTCTTTGTGGGCATGCCGTTGTGTTTGCAATGACGCTGCTGCCACAACTTACGGATCCGTTCATCAGCCATGCATATGGTTAATCGATTGATTCTTACATATCTGTTGTCTATATGTTTTAGGTAGTGAAAAATCAAAATGTATTACCATCCTTGCTGGTATGTAACACTGTTAATGTCAACTAAATATCTATGTGATAATATCGATCTTACTGGAGCTTGTGCGCAGATTTAATAAGCCATTTCGTTTGTGGGCTAAATGTCTCGTGAAAGAAACCTGCTTGCTTAAAGATTGCTTATTGGCAATACCCGTTCAACATGAAACATATAAAGAAAAATATACCTTACCGCTACTTCTAGTCTTCACAGTCGTTTCGAAACAGTTATAAGTAATAGTCTTTTTTCCTTCGACGTACGAAACAGGTTTCGCATCGAGGCGATATCGCTGTGGTCTCTGGTGGACAAATCCATGCGTGGTCGCTTCCTCGCTACCCAACTGACAAACTTTTCCCCTTTAGCCTAGCCATGGTCATTTCTGCGGAAATCGCCCTCGATCTCACCGCTGGTAAGTACCTAGAAATATTTGAGCAAATCACTGTATTGACCTTCTCTGTAATGGTTATTGCATAGTAAGAGAAAAAAAGGCTTCTTTTATTCATTTTTACGATTTTTTTTTTCCTCTAGCTTTTCTCTAACGATAAGCGCCCATTTTGTGCGCTGTGTGTTTTCATTTATAAATTTGTGTCCTCTGCATTATGGCATTATGGCCAGGAATGATGCAACGAAATGTACTTGAATCTCGATTGAGTAACAATCAGGCGATGTCGCTTTACCTCGACGCGACGATGAGTCCCGAAGATGAACATCACGACGCGCAGCATCGAGCCTTTAAAATGGCGCGGTGGTCACCGCCTGTGCTTGGGGCAACCGAATGTCTATTAACAACTCTACAAAATGATCACAATCTGCGCATACACCGATTTGTACAACAAGAGTGGAAGGTACATAGTCACAGAGTGATGCAATTCTATTGCTAGATATACAGTTTTGCCAACCACTTTTTAAGCAATACAGTTTATAGCGGTCTAATTATATGACGTTGTGTCCAGTCATGGATGGCTGTACTTAAAAGATGCCAGCTTTATGGAAAAATACTTACAGTACTTTAAGGTATATGGTCCGACTGTTTATCATGCTATTAAATTAATATGCTCTACGTCGTAAAACATTGGCCTATGGACGATACAATGAAATAATCTAAACGTTTTTTTTTTTTGCCGTGCACCAGTAGTGGTAGTTTGAGGCTAGAATAGGAAAGCGACTGAGGAAAATCTAGGGCACACACGTCAACAATAGAATAATGTGGTAGATTAAGCTTGTTTATTATTCTTTTGAAATTTTGTTTCCTTAGGAATCGGTGTTAAAACGTATTTTTACTGCTTGCATTTGCAGACCGTGCTCAACATCGCTGAAAATTTCGCTGACTTTGTCAGGTCCGAACTTCGCGACGAGATCTCTCAGTTACGATCGTACAACGTTATGTGGGAGTACTTCATTCACCTGCGTTCAATTGTTTATCGTATGGCAATCGTCAACTTTACATGGGCTAGTCCCGCATTTTTCGAGCGTCGGATACATACGGTCATAGCCTTAAAGGACGGATCATTGCGATTCGCTACCGTACAGGTGGCCGAGGAAGCTCTTGATTTGAGCTTTTCGCCATCGATTTGTAAGCCGATTGAGTTTGAACCAGGACCAAATTTTACAGCTGTTGTGTGTCTTCGCTGCGTCGCTCTTAATGAAGATTCGTTTCTTGTGTTGGCTGGCTATTCAAATGGAATGTGTTTCGCCATTCGCATGCAACGGGAATCTGCGTACGAGTTTGGCGGTTGTGTTACTCTATGGGGAGAGGACGATGACATTTCGGCTCGAGACATGTTTGTAACGGTACAGGATGAGAGAATCGTTGTAACCATTGTCAAGGGTGTTTGGCTGTGTATAGCCACATTAGATGTCGAAACATGTCAACTTCGGGGTGAGGTACTTCCAATACGAACCGCTGGACGGTCGGACTGTTTATCGTGTCATCAGACAAACATGTTTGCCACCGAGGAGTGTTTGCAACGATTGTTCCTCGTTTACCCTAACGGTAAATCGTTACTGGCCGAAATCGCTCAAGATCTTGCCGTGGAAGTTCGAGATCTTGGTCTAGAAGTAACGGCAGGCTATCAGGTATATGGCAGTGGAGAAAGCGCCAACGGCGCTTTGCTTTACATTGTTGAAAGAATGTCAGTGATGTCCGACAAGCTTCTGCTAACCGGCGCCAATAAACTGAAAGTGATTTCAACAGTGCCGCTTGAAAGCGCGGCCGCCACTATCTTGCACATGTTTCGTGAGGAGCAAACAGTGTTAAATCATATTAAGGACTATCTTGATATCGTCTATCTTAATTTTCAGAGCTCGCAGCGCTTACCTGAAGATATAGCTGTATTTATCCGAGAATGCTCGGAACCAAATAGTATAGCACGTCTCACAACTTCCCAGATTCTACTAAGTAGCCTCATACTCAAATGGAGTCCGCAGGACTCCGCGAACGCTGCTGAGAATAGTGCTACCTTGGCTCTTTTTGCACATGAAGTGTTGCGCAGGCGCTACCAGTTTCTGTTAGCTAATAATTATACTTCGGAGGGTTTGACCGATGCCCAACAAAAGTCGCTTGTACATTTTGCCGATTTCCTACTTGAGTCCGATTATGACCTAGCAGAGAAAGCGTACCGTGCTCTCAAGGTCTCACCATCTACGACGGAGCAACGAAGGTCGAGGGACTCCTGCGAGCTGTGCGGTGAACCTGTTGTATTAGACATGAGCGCCGTCTCGTCATGCGTGTGCAGTCGCGGCCACCAAACGGGCCGTTGTATGTATAGCCTTCTGATTTGCCGAACTGCCGATTTAATGAGTAAATGTCTTACCTGCGGAAGGTTCGCGCTCAGAAACGATGTTTGGGAACGGCCGGTCGAGTGCTTGCTCTGCGGACTTCCCATGGTACCATACCCGTAAGAAACCATAACAAGTACTAGCAATCTGCAAATGGCTTACTCTTTGTAAATGTACGCTTGTATAATTAGGGGCACTTTCCAAAGTCTTGTTTCAATAATGTAAATATAATGTAGTTCAATGTGATGTTCGGAATGAAAGCAGAGATCTGTTGTATACTTTTATATGGTGTTTTTATTTATTCTAATTAATTCTGTTTAGAAGTCTGAGTGAAGTAGTCTATTTGACGAAAATACATATTATAATTTCTAAATCTCAAGTTGGACAAACTTTGTGGCCGCCTTATCCAAAGTTATGTGCCACCTTTTCAACTCGTGTTGTAATGACTGCTTTGTATAATGGCTAAAATATAATCTTATTTCTAGCCCGTCATATATAATTTTGGATGTACCTCAAAATTATCACCGTTCGTTACTGGTAAAAAATCGTGTAATGTATTTGCATTTCAATGTGGTGCGATATAAAGTTCAGTGCTACAATATAACTTGACTATAGGCGAAATTATTGCTCCAACGTGGATTTTTAAAGGGTCACATCTCACATACATTATCTTATGCGACTTTTGTTTATTAAAGGTGGCGTTTTTATCTAGATTGCTTACATTTCGTATAATAAAAGGTTTATGCGATGCTCAGAAGCAAAACGCTTGGTGTCTAAGTAAAAAAGGACAGCCAACACTCCTTTGGCGTGTCACTGCGCCATTCGCGACGACAGCAGCCGCCGCCGCCGCCGCCGCCGCCGCCGCCGCAGCGTTGCAAGCAATACAGTGTGTTTAGTACCGACGCGTAAGATTTAAGGTCAACCTTAAAATTTCCACGAAATTAGTTCTTATACCTTATGGAAAAAGGATATCAGCGTATAACACGTGTATTTTCAATTTTCTACTGGCTGAGTGGTTTCCGCTCTGTTATGTAAACGCAATAGAGATAGAACAAAAACCCAATTTAATTTTTGTAAATAAAAAGCTAATGACTTTCCATATTCAGTTCCAAAAATAGCGTGTGTAGTTTACGTCAGTGTATAGTGTATGATTAGAATTTTTCATTCTACAGAGAGCGATAGAAAAATATTATGTTAATGTTTATTATACGAAAACGTGTGTACTGCCCTTTGGTCATTAAATTTATTTCCTGCGCTCCGTTTCAATGTAGATGTTCTATATATTCTTGAGTGCATCTGATAGGAGCAATAAAGCCAGACTTTTCAGTTCAGCATTTAGGGTTTTAAAATTTCGAATAAAAAAGACACTAAATATAGATCACTGACATGATTTGACTGATTTTTTACAACGATCATGCCATTATTTCGAGTTTGTACTATTTTGAAAACCAGGTCTCTCCTAAAAGCATCAAGTAGCGAATTCCTCTTCATATTAATACGTTATAGTCCGTTCAAGCAAAAGATGCGTTAAGTCATCTGTATATCTATAAATTATGTGTTATCCTGTAATACGCAATTAACATCAATGCAGGCAGAAAACTAAAAAAAAAGCACTACATTTAATCGGATATTACCTTGTGGCAGTTAGTATAGGAAGAAATACGTAGATCTATATCGTCTGCGTTACGAAGTAGCTACTGTTTCATACCCGTTTAAGACGCACGCTCTAAGAAGACTTCACGTGCTAACGTGCTAAACAGTAACATGGCGCCATAGTAATTCGAAATTGACAGAGATCATTCTTAAAACTGAGAAAAATACCAATGTTCTTAGATATGATCACTAGATTTAACGCAAAAGACCTTCAGGGCTGCAGTCAATTTCTTAGTAAATCACCTAGCCGCCTTCTGTCGCTGTAACGTAATCGCTTGACCCTCAGTGTACGACAGTGATCAATTATAGTTTCTCTATGATTCATTCGAAAAGAAACGGAAAAAGAAAAAAATTTATTTTACCAAATAAAATGATTAACGCTTCATGTAACGCAGATCGAAAATTACAAACATGACATTACAGTTAATGAAAAAATAGAATTAGCAATTCTAAAATGAAATGCGCATGCATAATAAATGAAAGCCGGGATGAAAGTACTGTTAGATGAGCGTTAAAATAAGTACATATTAGGTCTATACGGCGTTTTCAGGCTTATTTTTTCGTGTTAAAATGTTACTCCTAATTTATGGTATGCTATACGATGCGAATATAGACAGACTCACTTCATTCTATCCCATCTCTAATTTAAAACAGGGTTTCGGAGGGTCCCGGTAGAAATCGCATTGCGTGGCCCTTTTAAATATTTTTCAATCTAATCTCATTTCAAATACTGTCTATAAGAGCCCGTACCTTAAACGATAGTTTATGCCTGCCTTCGTGTGTAAGAGGACGTCCGAATCATTCAATGAGTTTTCTGTATATAAAATTGTAAAAACGAGGTGCGTTTGCGAGTGGTCCACACTATATTGTGGATGGTATGTATTTGTCTGCAATAAACGGGTTGTCGTGTGAATTATTCGCAACACTATACTTACGAAGGCCTATTTACCACTTCCTAAAACGCTTTCAGTAAAGGAAGGCGTATAATATTATGTATTATATGATACAAGTTGAGGCAAGTTATGTCAATGGTTGATACGAGTATTTCAAACGAGGTAAGTTCCTCAACAGGTTAATGTTGTGTACTGTTCATGAGTCAGGACCCTCGCAGTTCGATTACGGTGGTTCGGTTAAAGGAGCGGCAATTTTTAATACCGACCGAGGTGCTTCGTCGATGCTGTCCCGCGCTACGACGGCAACTACCATCGTCTAACGCCACAATTACTCATCTCGAACTTAGTGGCATACCAGAAGCGACCTTTGAAACTTTGGTGTACTACTTTCGTACTGGTTCGTGCTAATCGATCAGATGTCAATTGCGCGGCAACTGGCTAGTTAGTTAGATCAGATCAATGTGTTTAAATAATGGCGTACTTCAATGTTTCACATGTTAGTAGTTTACTACTGTATAGTGGAACAACAATACCGAACATAAATCTCTATCAAATAAGCGGCATCTTTTGTGAGGGTTCAAACTTCGAGGCGTCGATCTCCTATATATTCGATTGTCTAATTGCCTAACCCGTGCGACGTTCGAACTATTTCGAAAATCACGTACAAATGTCTTCACATTGCCAAACACGGCTGTGATGGACATATGTAAAGAAGTAAAGTAGTATCGTTGTACGTAGATATGGAGAAACGTGGATGCGCCTGTTCACGCAGCACGTTTAATTACGATATACGCTGTAGAGTACGATGCACGTGGACTCTAACATGAGCGATATGTTCAAAGAAAAACGAATGGCCTCAGTGTATATTCCAATCGAGGATAGCACTCTTATCGTTGCACCGAAGCTGAATTCCCTTTGGGGGTCGAGTAATTTAGACGTACTAGTGGCAGAAATCGGAATAGGTTAACACGCTCATAATGCTCATAGGCTCGTAGTACGCCAAAGACAAGGAACACCAGTTATTATCGTTGGAATAAGCTATTTCGTTGATGAAACCCATGCAAATGTCTGATGTTGCAGTCTTTACATTGCCCAGGTCGTGCTCCAGAGCTAAACATACAAAACGTGATCGACGTTTTTTGCACCGCATCCGATCTTGGAATACGCCCTCTTGAAAAAAAATGTTGGAAAGTAAGTTTTAGCTTGAATTTTCATCTAGATAAATGCAGGAATATTGATTCCCATTTAGTAGGTGCGCTGTTCTCGAAAGAAAGAGGAATAGTCCGTTTTATCTTTCACTAATACTAGATAAATATAACATTGCGTTACATGCCACACTGACCCGAAAATGAGCGGATGTTTATAAGTGGGGAAAAATACAAACTTATTTGACCCATGTCAGTTCTGAAACGAATGCAAGAGCGATACAACTTCATTCATTGAAAACTAATGACAGTTAACATTAATCCACGCACTCCAACGTTTCGGTAGGTTTACAGTCAAATGTGTAAAACAGTTTACAGTTAAATGTGTAAAACACAAAGCAACACTCGAAGCTTACACTTAGATAGCAGTAGTAGTAGTATGCGTTTCGTTAATAAATTAAACTTTTTTGGCGCTTTCATCCATACGCGTTTCAACTACAGCATGTATTCAAGACGATGTCGCGACAAGAGCAGTCGCTTCTTCTTTTGGTCGAGTCCGAAAGAGGTTTACATATGACACGGGACGATACATTACGTTTAATGGATGTCCTAGTGAAGAACTTCCGCAAAACAGTGAATAGCGCCGCGTTTTTACAGCTAAGCGAGCGACAGGTTCGACATCTGCTTACATACCCGCCACTGCGGAATGAACATGGAATCAACGCGACCTACAAAGCAGCCATGCGGTAACGACCGAACCGAGTAGTACCTTTTATTATCATATGCAGTTAAACAATTAACGGTTAGATATACGTGTGGGGTCATGTGTATGTATATAGTATAGCACAAAAACATTCGTCTTTGTGGTTTTTTTTTGTGGTATTATTCTTGAAGTGGACCGATGCCGTCAATGTGTGGCGCGGTTTGTTACCACACCAATCATGGAGCGGCACCCATTGCATTTCAATATTTATAATTAGTCAGGATTTCGGATGTTATATATTTGTTGGCTCTAATCATCGGGTCTACAAAATGTGGGTAGACACAACAGGTCAGAAGTTTGAGGCTAACACTGCGTTCGTTGTCTTATGTCTCCCTCTGTTAAAATATGCCTCTTGAAGATTACGCCGTACTGATGCCCTGAGCAGCTGCTACGCTTACAATAAGTCTACGATTTTGTAATCAGCAAAATTTTACTAGCTGTACGTTCAATAAGGTGAAATTCGACGATATTCTATTATGTTTTTTTGTATTTTATTAGTAATTTTGGCATTTGTTGAACGTGTTTACCCATGCTCTTGTCAAGGTGGTTGCACGCTGACTGTCGTGCTCGGCACGGTTACGTTGAGAGATTAACGAGCGCTCTTGGCGACACACCAGATCCATCATTGACGGAGAAGTTAACAATCTGTCCAACAATTGCCCGAGAGGTATCAAAGTTATCACTGGAGAGTCCCTCACCTCCATCACCTAAACTTGTATATGGGATAAGCGCTATGAACGAAGCGAAGGTCAACGTTAAGCAGCCAGAATCAAATATAGAAGCCAAGCCCGAATTTCCTGCTGAACCCATCGTAGCAGAGACGGCGCCTCAATCAAAAGCGGCTGAGACGCAACTGAAGTCTCCGTTTTCGCATCCGGTAAGCATTCCAAATATTTTGAAATTCCCTCTAGAACATGGAAAATAATAAGTTACAGACCAACGTCTGTAACGCAAGGATTTCTAAGAAAGGGTGCATTATTGAATCCTTTCAGAAAGAAAAATTTCTAGTTCGAGTTGACGAAAGGCCAAAGAAGGGGAGAATTTCACGGTCAATTAAAGAGACAAGAGCTTCTAAACGTTCTAGCAAAGAGAAGATAAGTCTTCGGAACTCGTTCCAGGAGACAAGCCAGGAGCATGACTTTGGGAGGCCTCACGGTATTTATTAAATGTTATTTTTTTTTGCTACTGTTTGTTTCGGTTTTACAATTAAGCCACAGGAACATTAGACAGTCGCCACCTCGCCACGTTAAATAGCACAGGTCCTAACAGATCCGTATCTTGTTTCAAAGCGTATTTTAGAAGAAAATCATAACTAATGTACACTATTAACTTTATAGCACGCGAGAAGCGGATTGTAGGCCTTGTAGGCGGAAGGACCGAACCTTCACCAAAGGCGAGCGAACTCCAAAGAGTAACAAAATCTCGTCACCAAGAATATGAACTAAATTTTAGAACACCATCAAGAACAGCGCGAATCCCAACGTATTTAAAACTAACGCGAGGCAGGAGTTGGCAACGTAAGCCAGACGGAGAAAGAGAGATCGACTCATCATTGACTAATGCTGAACGGGAGCCATCGAAGAGAAGACGATCACTTGATGAAGCTAGGCTCAAGTTCAAAAGGGACCGTGAAAATGGGCGGCGGATATTACAGACAAGTGGGCGAAGAATGCATGACGATTATTATGAATGGAGTACCGTTGGATCAAGGCAAAGAGGCGTCCATTATCAGCATCGAACAAACACGCACGGATCCAAACCATACATGCACGAATCTGAACCCTATATACACTACTCTGCAAATTCCAGTGACATGGCAATTCCTAAATTTTCCAGAAAGTCTAAGTCGCGAAGGCCGAGTAATCAGTCAGCGACGTTAAAAAAAGTAGAGAACTTTGACCTAACAGAAGAAAGTGCGAAGCAGGCCCTTCGTGGAGGTCGCTACGACCAGCGCCACGTCGCTGGAAGCACCGCTGACACAAAGATCAGTGAGGCAAAAATCTTTGATAAGACGGCGATTCTTAAGCCTAAGACAAAAGTTCGTTTAAAAGACAAAGCCGGAAGAAAGAAGATAGCTTACAACATCACCATAAAAGACAACATAAGCCAGAAAAGCCGGCGACGATCAATGAAACTACCAAGAACACCGAATGTCTCTGGAGCAGAGTCTTATGCCTCCACGATGAGAAATAAAAAATCATGCCGCCCTGTGAAGGTTACGCAAAGCTTTTTGAGATCAGGCAGGCACGGCAGGCCATCCAAGCCCAATCCAGCCACAGTGACAGGTAAAGGGAAGAGGTCATTTATATTATAATAAGTGGTCTACTATTCTTAGGCATTCGTAGTTGCTAATAACGCGTGCCGTACTTCAGGCGCCTGGTTTATTTTCATATAGTGGCTATCCTTGAACAATAAACATTGTCTTCTCTAACAGCCGTGTGCGCTAGCGTATGTTGCGCACGACCTAAAGTAAATCATTCTTTTCGACATGCCTCTGACCCTATAACTTGTTCATCGGGTTACAATTACAAATCACATGGTTTGTTTTCAGGCAAACGTTACAAAAAGGGAAAATGCGTCATCTGCTAGGAGACGAGGATGTTCGATAATTGTAATATAATAATGTATACGTTTGGCTGGCAATTTCCAGTGGCTTTCATAAAGGAAGTGTGTTACAAATTGTTTCACAAATTGTTATTTTTTATCGACCGTTTGACTGGGAGATGATATAAGCTGCCATTCATTCACCCTGTCGTGTCAGCGAGGCGCACGTATAGTCCTAGTATATTTATACGAAATTAAGCTGGTTGAAGCAAAGGGTTCGAATCTCTAGTGACGATGAATTTACGATGATTGCTCGTAAAACTGATGATGATCTTTGTGGTGCATTATCCATTTCTGAACTCAAGTAGTACATAGAGAGATGTCAATTGTAAACTACAGAAAACCATGCGATAGCCTATAGCTGCTCTGTGTAGCGTACTCTTAAACTTTTTTCTAATTTAACAGACGTACAGTTAGAGATCAGACATTTTTTAAAATATTATACGAAATATTTTTGCTTCCATATGAATAATAACAATAAATGACGATCAGATATACAGAGAACACAAGTTCGGTACAGTTTATTAATTATTACACGATCATTTTTTTTTGTTAGCCCGGCTTATTTATGAACGTGCTCGTCGCTTCATCACCATGATGAGATTACATCGATGCGGGACGCCCTTAAAATGGCGCTTTTGACGCTCGCTCGCCAGATGATTTCAAAAAAAAAACGTAAATTAAACGTGCAGTCGTCTATACGCTTTCAACCATGTGTCTGGTGAATTGTCTAGTCAGTCACAAAAAAGTTCCGTTCTTTGAAATATAGTTAGTTGTTCGCGTGTTCATACCGTTCTATTTGCGGATACCCTTGACGGTAATGTTTTTTTATTTACTGCCGTTTGAGAATCCGAAATTTCCTGTTTGTAGATTTTAATGTACATTGCTATTGATGTAGTTACCATTCTGTTATATGCATATAATGTGCATCACTAGCGTCTTTTAGAGCCTATAGTGCATTTCGTTCACATGAATGAGAATCTTTGTACTGCCATTAGTACTCAGTTTATTGCTAGCCATGGAGCTTATCGTGGCAAATCTTTTGTCTGAGCAGTATTTCAGGGCTATTTAAACGGGTACGTATGAGTTTACCCTATGCCTTTCTCTTGAGTTAATGTGCACCTGCTCTTTGCAATCGTCCTGGTTCATGTAGTCATGCATCGCGTACTTAGCCTCCTCGCAGCAATCCGTGATGGTCTCACACACGCTATTTAGGCCACTTCGAATCTGCATTAACTCCTCCCGGATTTCTTCTTCCTGATCTGGCTGGTCTTGAAGCCTTTGCATTGCCAGCTGTTGACGTGCAGTGAGTTGAAGTTTTGCCTTTTCAGCCTCCTAGGACCAATAAAAGTGAAGGCTATTTTACATAAAACAGTCATTCCTAGATTAAAATATAACTTGCTTTACGTCCAGCAAACTACACGGGTAAACCGATGTAGTGTTGTTAGACTATTTCCAGAACTTTTCATCTTTCAAAATGTTTGTCCGGCCCAGTGTCTTTTCGGAACAAATATTGGTATGGTCCCTCAAGGTTCTTACAATGATGTTAGTAACAGAATCTCGTCATAACCAGTAACCGACCTGTAAGTGTTGAATGACTCTAACCAGCTTGGGGTTCACTGGTCGAAGTTTCGCCTCAAGTGCTATAACGCCTTCCGAAATCCTCTTAAATTCCTGTGTAACGTCGTGTACCAACTGTCGGAACTTCGTGAAATTGTAGTTGGGTCCGGACGCAAGGTACAACTTGTGACCCCTATAAATGAAATTAAAATTGCGCTTTAATACCAGGAACGTGCGGTACTTCCAAAGAATATACTTAGTACAAGAGTAACCACAGACAGCATCAAAGTATATTCTTTGGAATATGAAATACATAAGCCGGGGTACTGACAGGGTAAAAGCCAAGCAATTAGCATGTGACCTCGGAGGCAACAATTATATATGTGAAGGTTTCAGCAAGAAACCCAGGTCACTTAAGAGAGCAAGCCCCAGTTTAGAGACGCTATAAAATAGATTTTTATTACATTTCATAATGCGTTACCGCTTACAAATGTAAAGGCAACCAAAGTCTAGATTTCGTGCTTTCATATGTTGCAAGAACTCCAATAGGTAGAAAACACGCAGTGGTAACAGGCAATGTGGTTAGCCAAGCACGCCACTTAAATCTACGTTTAGACTGGAAAGTATCGTGATATGAGACACGAGCCACGTCTCGTACAGGTTCCCTTCCTATTGTTTGCAGGGAGCGATTACCGCACGTCACAATTAACATACGAGGAATACTCCGTGGAAAAATGACGATCAAATGCGGTGAAAATGCTAAAAATAAGGTATGCATATGTCAACAGTTCGCTGCCGTGGTGGCAGTATTATTTCAAATGTTCACTGTGATCATGTTTATTCGTATTGTTACGTTTAACCACGTTAGCCTCAAAATATAAAAACCAAAAAATGTCAGGTGGCGTGGGATGGCCAATGGTACTAAGGCTTTCATCGATTACGTGGATATGGTTAAACAGATCAAAGCTGTAATGTAAATGGAAAAATTTTGTGATTTTGTTTTCGGCGTTTTCATGCATACTTTTTTTTTTGAGGTGTCCATGGTTTTGCTACAAATACTGGTCTCAATAGTTCCTAGTAAAAACAAAGCGTGATAGCATACATTCCTCTCACAATATAAAAATTCTACTCTGTCTAATGTGATAATCTTCTATAATGCGTTTTTATGTATTGAATAGATCGCAAATGATACCCGTCGCAAGATGTATAGACACCTTTGGAAAAAATCCTTAAACGACGGCCGTGCCTCGAAAATTGAAGCTGTCTACTTTAGAGAAGGAACAGCCAAATTACTTCCGTTAATTAAGCCCATTTTACTTCTGATATTGTTTGTCTATAATATCTGACGAATATTTGTTATCAGACTTAGACTGAGATTGGAGATGGGGTGCTTTGAGATTTGCGTTGAGAATTTACGCACTATTGTTAATGATCGCTGCAGCGAATAGAACAATTATCAGGATGGTGCATAGCTTTTATTCGGTCGTTGCAAGGCCCTTCATAGGCCCTCCATAGAACTGGCCACAACATATTTACCATTGGATAGACGCATTATTCTTGAGGTTAGGTTATTATAAATATAATGCGAATTCATACCACAAGTTACTCTTCCTGTTTAGAAAAATTTGGCTTACTTTCGTAAAAAGATCACAGAGAGTAGGCCGATACAGTTATATCCTAGACATAAATTTAATAGTAGCTAGGTGTTTCGGCAAGCACAGAATTGTCATATCGTTCTATATATGCCTTAGGCAGGCCACCAATTTCCTTTACTCGAAAATGCCGACTCGTGCAGGTTGTTCAATCCGAACCTCGCGATTTCTTTTAATTAAAAGAAATTAAGCGGAACTATTTTAAAATGGCGCAACTATAATTTAGGTAAATAAGCATCTTTCGTCTTATGATATTTTCCATGTTTATTTTACATGTAAATTCCCGTGTTGTTTTATGACAGCTTAACAGGAGAACACCACATTTCGGCCAGTATTTCTTACCAGTCGTCTACAGTTGGCGATACTGACCGTTGCTGTCAAGCGCTAAGGCGGTCACTCTGCCGATGTCTGATAGCTCAGTTAGTCTGGTGGGATCTTCTAATTCGACGTAAAGTACGGCATCGTTTATAAAATGTAAAATTTATAAACGCGTTTAAATTGTATCTAATTCTAAATGCTATACTCCTCTGCAGCAATACTTACTCATGGAATAGATTATACGTGTAAGCACGCTCTTCCTGAAGCGCCTTCAACTTCTTCAAAAGTGAAATCACATCGCCCTCTGCTACGTCCAGCTGATGACGAAACACAAAGCATAAAAACGTTAATTATTTTTTAATTCATTGTTGTGGAAGCCGTCTTACTATTATAGTAAATGGTAAAAATAAATAGGCGTCGAAGAACTGTTACGGTTATGGCTACGCTAGATTCTCGCATTAAAATTATGATATTTGCTGTATAACGTCTACTGTGTTACGTTATTTGTACACCTATTATACTCACAAAAATATTATGCAAAAGTAGTGCAATAATCGAAAGTGCACAAATGCTCTTACTAATTAGGCCAATTCACCTATAGATAGCTACATTTTGTAATTCAGACTTTTACATTATTTGGAGATAACAGTCAGTCACGAGGAATTTTATTCGACGAATAAATTTGATTATAGGTATTTGAGTTTCGAAAAACGTTATGCCTATGCTTGAAGTTGAAACAAATCTAAGCATCAACGAGAAAACACAAATTTCCATGACCGGCCATAACACCTGAATCTTCGTTCGCTTCTAGCCGGTTTCTAATTGTTGATGCCCGATAATATAAAGGATGGAGCATAAAATTAGACTGAAGAGAGACTGAAGTTCCCTCTTCTGTGTCATCTTCTAATGTTCACTTCAAAATGTATTTACGAAGCTAAAGCTTCTGCGTCGTCAACGGTGACAGTAGTACCGCAGTAGTAAGAAAGCATGCGGGACGCCATACAAATACCCACACATCGGTCAATAGTCGTCTGCGTTATTTCCCACAGTCAACCAATTGAACAGCCACTTCCAGACGACACTTGCCATTCGTATCGTCGCAGCTACTACGAGCACAGGAGTAGTGGAGAAGAAAAGTATACCATGTACAGCTTCTTCGCACTGTTCGATAAACAGAAAGCAAGATAATGTACATATCGATAACAAGACACGGACGGTATCGTCAAGATCTTCTATATAGTTTTCCTTGAGAAGCACCTGCCCTATGTCGTATCACAGATAAAGCTCGATGCGCGGCCGCAAATGAACGCAGAAATTAGCATTTCGTTAAGGTGTAAGTATTGCTATTTTTGACAAATGGTGAATAACCCACGCTTTCACTACTTCTCCCCTTTATATAAAAGACGTGGACGAAGGCGATCCATATGATCGACACAAACACATCGAAACTTTTAGTCTACGCCGTTCACAATGACCCGCTAAGTTGCGATCACTTTTACCATCTGCAAAAATATATAGAAATTTTAAGTTGAAGTTCTAAATGCATAAAAGCAGATACATAAACGTAACGTAAGAAAAGATCATCGCATATCTGTTTAATTATAAACCTTACCTTAGAAATAAGGGGAGTAATACAAGTGTGTTTAGGGCAAGCTTGCCTGAAATATCTGACGACCGATATGGCTGTATGCGCGCCAAATTTTTAGAAAATCTTGCTCACAGGAAAATTGCACGCACTTTGCTTCAGCTATAATAGACTACAAAACATTATATATGATATCTTTAGCTAAAAAGTAGCTGCGTATCCGCTCACTGGCACTAGCCCGCATCTGGTGCTTCATTGTACCGTTCAAGTGAGAAGTAAAACGTGAAACTTGACGATCTACAAGTTTTTTTTTACTGTAGATGCGCTTACTTTCTCTCACTCACGATAAAATCTATAAATTTTCGGGTGAGACCGAGCAAACTAGATCAAAGACCTGCAACACAGCAGAACTAGTAATCTCATCTCTTGCCAGCCGCTGATCACCTCGGTCTGAACTGGGGCAAGGGCTGAACATCGCTTTTATAACGCCACTGGCGTCTCCTTTGAGCACGCATGCGCTGGTTAGGCCGTAAAACGGGTGAGAAAATGGATGCCAACCGATAGCCTAAAGCAACCAGCGGCATCTTCGCGTGCAGCAATACAGTTATCAACAAATACAGAGCAATCCTTTATCACTCGCGTCAAGACGAGTACAGTTTCCTTGGTGTGTATCGATAGGATTACTGCAAGACGTACGTTATTAGCCTTGCGCCTGATACTTCCGAGTTGCCGCGTTTAGTTTTTTCAGGCTTTCAGATGGATTTGAAGTTCTCGAATGTTCAAGGTAATAAAAGAGTAAAGATGGCGCGTAAAGGGACGGCTCATAATCCACCGCAAAACGTCCTGCCGTATTTGCTGAACATCTTCACATTCCATCGTAATAATGGGGATAAAAGGCACATTACGCCAATGTGAAATGTACTTACATGTCGATTTTAATTAACGCGATTTCAGCGTGACCTATAGATCATGGCCATTTCACGCATTCCATATCATTGTCGAAACATCGGCCACTGATCGTTCATGAAACATATAGAAAAAACTGACACTCGAACTACTCTTTTTCTAACCATAAAAAAAGTTGACTATCAAACATGTTAGACAGTATGCTTATATATATATATAATACCAAGTATCCACCTTATATGGAGTCAACGAGATAGATCGCCATACGTTAAAGACTTCTCGTGCCAACGTACATCAGCGTATGCACTATTGACGTACGTTTAGCAGTACATTGAACCATCTGTGGTGCCAGCGTTGCTAAAGCTAACCAACTCTATGAAACGGAAAGGAATAAAAGCATATCGTGTCCATCGGTCGCACCATCTATATGCCTTAAATATCAGCTTTTTAGTGATGAAAAAATATATCCCGATATAGTGATTAGATCCAGAGAAAAACAGCATTAACTATGTTCCAACCAATGATATAATAACAATTACTATTTCATAATATCTCTGGCAGAGACATCGAAAGTACGTGCGACAGTTACAAATGTATTCCATTGATCTCCACAACAATTATAGCATTTAGTATGCAAAACAATCAATACTTCGTATATTTACTGCGTGCATATGTGTACTTCTACAAACAAACGACCTCTATATAGTTTTTTTCGATATCTTGCAGACGGATTTTATTAACGTTGTTGTCTGGTAATTAAGCAGTCAAAGATAGCCAGCCGAGTAATCAGTAAGCTCGACACATGAAGCCTTCCTGTGATTTCTCTGTGACCCAAATCAACCGGCGCCTTCCGCTGTATGCTCACGGCGACTTGATATCCGATAAATGACGACCGCAGTAATGACCGAAGTACAACAGATTTTGGACAACGGACAAGGTTTCACTATATTACCAGTTGAAACAACAAGAAAACTTACCTGCCCAACCCATTTCTAAATATTCTACGGGTGTATAGCAATAGTAATCGCAAAAGACAGAATATACAGCAGCGATAGCAGATATGCATAGAAGAACCTACTTTGTTAAGAGCAACTGTATAAATATAGCGTATTGTACTCTATTTTTATGGATCTGATTTGATGAGAATATTTATGAGCAAATAGCACTCAGTCTATATTATAGCAGAATGATGAGTTTCATTGTTACATATATAGTACTTCCCTTCAGGCAAAATTAAAGAGCAATTTTCAACATGGGTCACCTTCTCTATTAGCATAATTGTCGTGTGAGCTACTCTTCCTACAACCCTTCCTTCAACAGCTGTTGGTGCTTGAACCAAAATGAGTTACCTGCTTTTTAAGAGGCCCTTTAAGCATCTGGACACACTTTACAAGATTTGGCTTCGAAGAAAAATAGGAGACCCTCATCATTATCGCAACCATGAGTATAGAACACCCGGAACCAGCTGATGCCAAGAACTCGGAAAAGTATACGGAGCGATGCATGATAACTCAGGCAAACCGTATAATAATTCCCACAGGCGTATTCTGCATGGCTAACCATTTAAGTTCACAATTATAGGATATTCAGAATCTCTGTAAAACGAAGCCTGGAACTGTATAAATCAGTGTAATAAAGGCATAACGAAAGAAATATAGCAAGTTTGTGTCTAATGATTAGTGGCACTTTTCCCTAATGGCTAATGCAGAAAGCGGGCTAGCTCTTAATTCTAAAACACACACGACCAGGTTTTTTGCTATATGATTTTATAGTGACTAACAGCCAAAGTGACCACACTGAGATGCGGTCAGTTCCGTCAAGAAAGAATATACCCAGTAAGGTCTTACCAACATATTGAATCTGCTGATTTGCACCCTTTTCCTCTGGCACGTTTAAGTGAAGTATCAAAAATCGAGAAGCGAACAAAGCGTCTCCGAAGAGTAACCACAATGCAAATCAAACAATAAGCCTTGACAGCACAGTGTCTGGTTTGCAGCTCCGTGCGCTAGACTCTAGCCGGTCTCCGAGCTGCAGCCGTTTGCACCAATGGCCGGTCAACGACTAACCGAGTCCTGGCGAGCGAGAGTAGTTTTAGAATGATGACGACGCCGCAGAACGTTAAACAGTTACACACCGAGTTCGCATAACTGTCGTTACCACCACTGCTCTTTGAAAATTGTAGAAAACGACCATGCAGAACGGGCCTAACGTATTTAATGGCTCCTAATTAATGCGAGAAGAAAGTGCTGAATCGGACAGTGACGCGGTCTCGAGTCGCCGAGCGAGAAAATAGACCCGCAACTACTTCCAAATCGTATAGATCAATACTGCATTGGCGTATTTATGTAGCAAATATGAAATACAGGGCGCGATTGCGCTTAGCACTAATGATGACAAGATCTTTGTGATAGCCGATAGCAAGGAATAAACTTTAAGCTATCGCAGGTATCCCAGGAAGCGGAGTGATACAGTCGAGAACACACGTGGGGCGGAGAATAATGGCAGTTGTCAGAGAAATGTAAACATTGTGCAACACGATGAGGATACCGTGAGAAGAAGCGGATTTTTACCTGCCAAAATTATGACCATGTGAGTGTATACATTTATCACATAGATTAGAGAGACATGCGTCATTTTAATTTTAACGTGTCATATTGTTAAACCATCAATCTGGGGACATTGTCTTGACTCTTCTGCAGCGTTCGGTCGGTATCGTTTGAAGAAAGAATGAGCTTGTCGAGAAATCAGTATTTGTACAACAGCTGATCTCTGCATTAGTGGATAGCAGAAGTGCGTAGGCTGAAAAAACTCTCTGTAGCAGTCTCATTCGGGTTGAATGTGTACTAAATCCAAGAGAGTAGGTTTTTTGCGCTTAAAACTTCATTGTTAAATATATCGGGCATTGTGTCCATAGAAAACGTATTCGATGCCGGACATCTTCAGCTGGCATGAAATAGACACATTGCCTGGCGAGTTAATGGCTTCGACAATTTATTTACCAGTTTGTAAGGCTTTTTCGTAGTTGAATAAAATCTCTACTTACAAGATAATCACGACTCATACCAGGTCACATTAAGCATGCTTTTCCATTTAATCTCGACCAAGAATCAAAATTATCTCAAGAACAAATTGAAACTTGAGGCAACGTCTACATGTCGTGAGTAGAAAATTGACCATAAATTGCATGCAACTATTGGTCCAGGACTTCAGCAGGCTCTGGAACATTTAGTATTCCTCTTAGTAAACAAGTCGCTGACAAAGACACATTTATGTTGGCAGAAGGCAGGGATGATGATATTAATGGACAACACACATATCAGTGTCACGATGATGAAGTATTTGAAGTATGTGATAATGTGATCGACTTGGCTAGCAGAGAGTTGTGGGACGAGCCGGTCAAATATATCTAAGTGGGAGAAGAAATGCGCGAATTTGAGTTCGTTTCACCAATGACATGCTGTTCGAATGAAGATCTGGTCAGGTATGTAATCTTAGTATAGCCTTAATCCCGCCCTTGTCGCGAGACACGCGCTAAATTAGTGGGGGTGCAAATTTATACGTACGTCGTTACAAAATTATACGTAGTTAATTACATGGTTTAGTTTCACCTTTGACATAAGATATATTATTCGGAAACGCAGATACTCGCACACGTTTAAAATATTGCATCAGAAAAGGAGTCGGGTCACTTGTGACCACAAAGGATTATGCAAGGACGTCTGTATTCGAAGTAGATGCCAGGTACTATTATACATATAGCACTCCTTTTTAATTTTTAGCCGTCTTGGAAATACGATAGATCCGTTTGCATTTTTTCATGCAAACATTTTTTCTTTCGCTTGTCACAAGATACTGCAAGCGAAGATGAACTATAGATAAACTGCTCTCATTAGCACGGCCACTCTGGCTGGAGAAGTTACTTTCTGGTAAGACAGGTGTCCTAGATGATACTGAACATACAAGAAGCGAGTGCTACCAAATTCACTTTTTAGGGTTACAGTCATGCCCTTAGAATATACAAATTGTTGAACATGCATGAAAGTGCACAACAACTTAGTGTATCAAATCAGCAAACATAATATACTATAAAGGCTAAATTTAAACATAAAACTAATCTCAGAGATCTGTAAGTGTTATAGATTCAACTATTTAATGAACTTGGAATACACAATCGGTAAAGGTGATAATCTTTTTTTTTTTCATTTAGAAAGCCCCGTTGGTTCTCGAGAAGGTTTGGATTCTTTTGTAGTAAAATGCTATAGGCTGAACATCAGAATCATGCACTCTGCTTATTTGTTGTCTATTGGTTTTTCTTTTTTGTTTGCTTATATTGTTATTGGTTCTAGTAAAACCTGTGCTTTATACTAAATAACAAGGCTGACAGACAAGAAGAACAGATATTAAGAAAAGAGGGAAAAATACAGGTAGCTTCATCGTTTTATACTGAATATCTATATTCGATACTGCATCCATAATGTATGGTTTCTAGTAGCCTTTCAAGATGTCCTTTCGCTGTGGTGGACTTTGATAAGAAGCAAAAGATAAAGCTCCCATATTTTGTATGCGGGTTGTATCACATCTGCAGAGATTCTTTGAATCTGATAATCTCTGCCTTCTCGAGGTGGTCTTGGAGGACGACAAAACGAGTTTGTCAAATCCTTAGCGGCAGCTTGTGGTGTAAAGTTAATCACAGGAGTAAGCTACCTGACGCTAGAATGGGCAACTGAAGACTGCATACATACGCTCGAGCTGGTTGTCTTGCCCCCAGCAACTCAGCAGCAGAAAACATGCGACCTGTGATATAATTTCCTCATGTAATTTTTCGAAAACTATCACGGAATTTTTAAGGCCTGAAGAAAACCAATTATATTATTCTGAACCAAAGTAGCGTTGATAAATATTAAGGACCTGATTTCGAAGTTTTTTGCGCATTCGATTCTAAGTTGTACAAAGAATCATGAAAACATAATTTTTTTAAAATATATTTATCAGTTTCTGCATAACTATCAAACTCAGTTTCATGATAGGCTAACTAGTAATTTTTACAAATGCAAGGTCTTTTTAATGCAGGATATGTCATCACTAGGCACACGCACACAGTGCGTATGACACTTCACAGAAAGGTGTTTTAGGAAGAAGAGTATCAATCGCCAATTCAGTCGTCCAGCGAAGCTCCAATCATTAATTTTTTTGAGACTTTCTGCAGTTTTAAAAAGAAAACTATCGGAGATTTTGAGCCTTTGCATTCTTGGGGCTTTTGGCCTGCTATTAACACGAAACCTACTTTCGTTGAATTTTTTTTATATGTGGCTTATCTAAGCAACACTTTAGAGAACTACTTTAGAGAAACACACTAGAATTGCTTTATCCACGGTTACCATTAAATATTATTTTTGCGGATTAAAGAAAAGATATTTTCAAATGGCTAGTTAATGGTTTAGGTTCCGAATCGAAGTCGCAATCGCGATGAATGGTGGTCATATTGTGTTAACAATATGTGTCTGTGTGTCTTACTGAACGGTTCGTATTTTGCCATTCTATAGTATGTAATGATCTCATAAATTTTCCTTGATTTATAAACTTGAGAATTTTTCACTTTCGTTACACAGATGTATCCGCAATTGATTTATAAACTTGTGAATTTCCTACTTTAGTTACAGAGATGTATCCACGATTTATTTATAAACTTGAGAATTTCCTACTTTAGTTACACAGATGTGTCCACAATTTATTTAAATCATATACACGGGTGTCTTTTTAAAGTAGCTTTATGTATTATATTTAAGGCAAAAATATACTGCAGAAGCACACCTCGATGTATCTACAAAGATTCGCTAGTCTCTGGGGACTAGAGCAGAAAACTGGGGATTTCTTAGACTTCATGCACTTCTCGTGACGCCTTCTTTAACGATGTTTTTTAAAAAAAGTGTAAATATTTCTGTTCGTACCAATTATTTATATCTCCATCGCAGATGATTCTATCGGCTAGTTGACATTATCGTTTTTCCCCATTATTTTTTCCAGGAGCCAGCAAGGCGGTGGATCGCGGCGCGAGGTGCACGAGCAGTTTGTCTCGGGCGGCGCTGGCTGCGAGTTTTACGAAGTGCTTGCTGTTTGTGGCCTTGTTGTGCTGAGTGCGACACACCAGTTTATTATTCGGAGCTTGATGCGATTTCTGCTGTATGATTGCAAAATGTAAGCAATGGCACTGCGAAAACGATATACTCTGGAAAACTTCTGTTAGTTTACTGTAAAGGAACCGTCTGCGCGTGCTATCGTATCACTCTTAATTACATCTATCAATCTTCATGTGCAACATATCCGCGAGAAAGTGGTTGGCGCTAATATTTAGGAAATGCTTAATTTTTTCCATTAAACACCAGAAGTCAATTAGTTTCCGTTTACTGAAATCTATGTGAGTACCCACTTTTTTCCATCCTATAACAAGTGAATAATTAAACATTTTATAGAAGATAGCTTATAAAGCACGTAAAAATAAATCGTGTTGGCACGTCATGTCGGCACTACACACTCGTTGCATTTTTCGTGGGAGAAATGTGATATCTGTCCACATACTAAACCTTTCTCCAGATCTATTGTCTAACATTTATTATGTATATTTTCAGTCTTCGATGGAGTCTAGATCTGACCTTACTATGTCTGCCATCATTCATGGCGATGGCGTTGACAGATCAATTCCTAAATGTCTGCATGGTTCTCATTTCACTCATCATTATGTTTGCTACAATATTGACTTTCTCAGCTCACCGCCGTGCCAAAGAGGCGCGCGTGATTCATGATCCTCTACCAGAGTGGTGAGCAGCAAACAACGGTTTAGATTTTTATAAAAAAAAAAAACTAAGTTTAACCACCTAAACCCTTTGACAACAACCTTTTGAGAGCATAGGCCTTGTGTATATCTAAACATACGTTGAATGGACAAGAAACTAGTGAATGAGCGCATATATTGAAGGATCGGTGTATTCTTTAATTGGATCTTAAGGCGATTGACTACAAAGGTTCAGTTTCTACCGATTTTATTTTTACAATCATATGAACTCTTTTTTTAGAACCCAGAAACGTTGATTCATGAAAGTTTTCTGCAACACTTGAACCATGATAAGCGGACATTCTAAACTAAATAACTGGATTTGACTTAGCATGGGTTGATATTTTTGATTGGCTATAAGATGTAGTCTGTATTCGGGATTTTATTACATAAAAGATGCGTTTCCATTTTGCCCTGCTGGGTAAGGGGCAAGTTAGAGGATTAGTCAAACTCATAATCTCGTCAACGTTGTTGATACGATGGATGTATCGTGAATATTACAGCCGTGGGAAGCTTCATCACCATGCCTATTTTATACCGTTATCGTATACGCGGGCCGCAACCCTTGCTGTAACCTTGGTCTGCATTTTGGCAGTAGACTTCCCGATTCTGCCACGGCGACAAGCAAAGACCGAAACCTACGGATTTTCATTGATGGACATCGGCATAGGACTTTTCGTCTGTATCGCTGCGGGACTCAGCGCAATCAAGAAAGGTATTCCGCTATTAAATCTGACATACAAAACTACTGTTCAAATGGTACTTTGATAATATAATGTATACCGTAACTGTCTAAACGCTAGAGGTTTCCAACCAAACATCTAGTGTCAATTATTTGTGTTTTCAGATCATCGATTCCGATCAGAATTTAAAAGTGCTGCGGGCATGTTCGTCCTCGGAATTATTCGGCTTGTGTTTGTTGTTTCTATGGACTACCAGGCTCCTATTATGGAGTATGGAAAGCATCTCAATTTCTTTCTTTGTTTTGCTGTTACAAAGATTATATGCGCTCTGTACTATGCGATTTTCCCCGCGCATTGGGACGTTGTTGTCGGATCTGCGGTAAGCAGTTGCATCAACTATGTAGCGTTTACTAAATATGCCGATAAGTGAAATGAGTGGAAAAAAACCGAACATTTAATGACTTTCTTTTTTTATTCGCTTTGAGTGAATATGGATATCCGTTAAAGGTACTGATAATACTATTTAGCGCCAAATATGCTTGCTGACAACGAGATCTCATTAACATGATTACCGAAATACACTAAACGCGGTTACTTATACACGTCCAATTTAATTTTTATCGATTCTAGTTACGCGGAGTAGTACTATGATAGGGAATTTATTTTCAACAGACAAGGCAGAAGATCTGGAAAAGGGAAGCCTAGAGTCCAACTTGCAAAACAAGTCTATTTTTTGGTCAGACTAAATTTTCCAGACCTTGATTAAAGCAAATGCACTTCATTTCGGAGACGTCACGAGGGAAGTGTTCAATGAAATTCTTACACACATTGCTTGATCTCGTTTTAAAGTATGTCTAAATTACGTGATAGACTTCGGTACACCTTATCTTTTACATAGCTCTACAAGAAAAAATCGAGCGGTGTAAGATTAGAGGAACGTGCAAAAGATTAACTTCTGTGATGTAGCTAAACTGCAGCAAAGTTCTGAAACTTCTACTTCCATTTCATACTGTGCCTCCGCTCTGCAGAGCTCAAATAGGTTGATATTGTTCCTACCAATGACAGTGCTACGCAGTGGTTCTTTTGCTGCCTATTGAAGGAACATATTACTTTTCACTTAATTATAAGCATTATTTTAAAACAATTAGCAGGCATTTGGTAAATTCAAGCTGAGCATAACATATATATATATGTATATATATATATATAGTATAAGATTAATATTTTCATACATACAATGTGTGTCAAAAATGTTTACACATTTTGCACTGCCGTTGAAAATTAATTCTCTAACCTACGAGGTTAAATTTATGGGAAAAAGTGGTTTCCAAATCTGAAGAGGGATCTCATATATATATATATATATGTATATATCCCATAAATTTAACCTCGTAGGTTAGAGAATTAATTTTCAACGGCAGTGCAAAATGTGTAAACATTTTTGACACACATTGTATGTATGAAAATATTAATCTTATACTATGCGCATCACAGTTGAATATTATCTGTACCGATGGCAAGTCGCCGCCAGTACCCTTTTAGTGGTATTAGAATTTACTGTCGCAAAATTTTCAGGTATATCTTTGCTATCAACTAGCGCTGCAATGCCAGCCAGTAGACTTTTATCTTCACTCCGTAAATCGCGATGGGTTTCTGGCCGCCAACAAGGAAGGTCTTGCTTCGATTATCGGTTCGTCCTGTCTGTTTCTCATTACAACTGCTGTATGCAGACGGTTCGTCTATAAGGTCAAGTAAGTGCAAGCGCTCAGTTGTTACAAATCTAAAGAATTCTATACGACCCTTCTTTATGTGAAAAATATTGCGGCCGTGTCCTCACATCTTCTCGATCCCATTAAAAATATCAGCCAAAAGAGGTGTCAAGTTCTAGACAAACAATAAAGGAGTGAATACTTTTACAAAGAGTCAAAAGTGTGGCATAACGTATCAGTAACTAAAAATACTTGTAAGGCCTGACTTCTCTTTTGCGAAAAACGTATATATACAGGTTTTGCATGTAGTTTTTTTAACCATGTATTTATACTTGTCTTTTTTGCAGAAATTGCAAGTCAGAGTGGTTTTACTTTGTGTTCCAAATGCTATTGTTGTCATCTTCGTGCATGGCCTCTTCTCTTCTGATGCATTCGGATAGAGTTCCCGTATCACGGCGCCTCTTCAACCTGTCTTATTCTCTATGGGTACTTTCACTATTCTTGATATTCCTTGTGGCATGTACGCTGTTGCGATTTATTGATTTGGTGTCCTCTTGCGGAGGGTACAATTTGGTCACATTACAACATCTTTCGCCAGAGGTAAGTTTTGTATTTATTTATTATATAATATCTAATATTATTACTATATTATATAATATCTGTATGGTACATATTGCTATACCTTTGTTAGTTCTTTATTGTCGGCTTATGTGCTCTGTGTATCTTATCGCTGAATATTGAAATACATTGCAAATAAGAATATTCCTGTTATAGTCAGTTTTAGAATTTTCAAGAGTGCTACACCAGCTATATTTGTGCGTAATTTCATCGTATGACTAATAAGAGATTAGACAAATTATGTATTTCATAGTTATATTTCAAAGAGCAGAAACTTTATCATCCGCTGAGGCTTTATATATATAATGTTGTAGATCATAAAATTTCTAATTTTCTTTATAATAACTTTACAGGTAGATACTGTTGATGATATCCTACAGTCGTTTAACAAAGGAGCGGTATGGGTATTCCTATTAGGTAACGTCTTGACGGGAGCTATCAACAAAATGTTTGAGGGAACAATCTCAACGCTCGACGCAACTTTGTCCCTCCCAATTCTCTCAGCCTACCTTGCTACGTTGACTATATTTGTGTTGGTATTTTTCCCCAAGCCAAAAATTACCAGAAAAGATGCTGGCGATGGTCTAATAGCTCAGACGTCATCCGAGGATAAAAAACATCAGTAAAAATAAAACAAATCAGTTCGACGTTCGTCCGAGTAAAACCAAGACGATAGCTCTAAAAATACAGTGAAGTTGGTGTGCCCTCACTGTGTTCGTCGACTCCTGATATTTTCTTTGTAGTCTACTTCATTATTTTATAAAGTCAAGCCAATGAACTTAAAGCTTGGAGGGGCATACATACTGCGAAACTCCAACAAGCGACCTTGCACTACTCGGTGTCAAATATATAATTATATGAATAAATTATTACTGATATTTATATAAGAGAACTGTATAAATGGTGCATTTAATAGAGGTGTTTTTATTTAGGCGTAACAGTATCTTTAGGTTAACCCATAGTTTTGTAGTCTTACGTTTAAGAAATTTTTTCAAGAATGTGATCTATCTGATACTGTAAGTTCATAACTGCAAATTTTTGCTAAGGGTTCCAGCACGGCATAGATAAGAAGTTAGTCTATATCAGGTGTGAAATTAGAAATGGGCGTATATATGCGACCGTATACCATCAGAATTAAGTTACAGAAGGCGTAACACCAAGCAGAATCACTGAAATGACTCAATGAGTAAAGGTGCTAAGAGTGCTCAGAATACCCTGGTTGGACGGAAAGAAACAGAAAACAAAACTAGAAAGCGAGTGTGAATTCGATTGAACTGATGCATCATATACATATTTTAGTCGTAAACATCTGTAATAAAAATGTATAAATAATAGCCGTTATGACAAAGCGGGTGTAATACTAAAGAAAACAAGTTCACATACTCCACTTGATATTTTTCCCTATATCCAGACCTTGATAGAAATAGAGAAGAAAGTATTGAACGGAAGATATAAGAAAAGCCGTGGCTTATTGTCTAAATAATATCGTACATCAATTATGTGTTCTTAGCGAAAAAATTACTACTCTCCGCACTACACGGAACCATAAATCGTTTTTACTTTTATATGTTTTGCATAATCGCCATAATCAGTAATGCAGAGTTTTATAACTCTGTACGGCGTGCGAACCTGCCTAAATATACGCATAGAAAAAAGAAATTCAGAAAGCGGGCTGCAGACTTTGCGTCCGGCTATTGTTACGAGAATTTGGCACCAGGGTTGGCAGAGTTTGACACCATGGCTGCGTTAAGGAGAATTTCGGACCCTCATTTTATGTTATGAAAGAAAGATTTTTTCAGATGACTACCTTGAAAAAAACGTCAAAAACAATTTTCCGAAAATGATTGCTCTTTTTTATTTCTTAGGGTTTCTGAGAAACAATCAAATAACGCTTTTGTGCTCTTGAGAGCGGTGTTGTTTGCTCCGCACTGATGCACATCCCTAATGTTCGTTAGACAATTTGATACGCAGACGGATTCGTTTTTATGCTCTTTTGGTTTTCAGTCTGAATTGAACTAAAAACATACTGTCAAGTATTCGTTTGTTCTAGAGCATTAAGAATAGCATTAAGCAGACTCTACTGACCCAATTATATTATGTATAAAAACAAGAAACTCTTGTTGCTCCAGCTGAGAATATCGATTAATATTGAGGTGTCCCGTCATAGTGAAAGTTTACCAAATGAATACTATTTTTGGCCCAGGCAACGCCTATTAATAATATATTGGTTATTCTACAAGTACCTTTCTATTTCCAGTTGTGCAGAAGTAAACTTTTTGGAGATAAACTGATAAATACAGCTTTTTGTTCCTTTTAAAGATATAAACTGTTTCTTACGAAGCGATAGTCGAAAGGAGCAAGGTCAGATTTGTAGGCTGGATAAAACAAAATATTCCTACCAAGCGTTGACAAACTTGGACATTTTTTGCTAGTCACCGGAGATGCCCGCCTTGTCGTGATGGAGCACAGATGTTGGCCATATCCAGACATTCTTTCTGGATGCATTACTTTAAATGCTAGAGCTGTTTGTATTACTTATCTGATATAACACTTTGATTGTTAAAGAGGAGCTCATAGAAAGGAACTCCTCGGCAATTACATTGGAATCCAGCTTTAGCTCTCGTTTGAAATGCACTAACAAGATTTGGCGACGATTTAGTCCGAGTGGCATTATTGTAGATTATACTGTGTATAGTATACCATTACTATAAATTATCACTCGTATCTTCGCAGGAAGGATATTGCTTTCGTTACGCTTTAGAGGATGTTCGGTCGTGTACTCACGCCTTATCAGTTGGTAGTGTGTTAAATCAGGAGGAACCCAGGTGCCTACTCAATTGGCGTCGTTGCTAGACACCTTTGAATGCTCAATTTGAACGCTGCTATATTTTCTACGATCCAGAAGTCAGCTATATTTAAAATAAACTCCCAAAAATTACAGGTTTCTAGACAAAATTTGGCAGTCCTAGCTTGATTACGAGGACGCAAAGACAACTAATTGACCGCCAGCTACAAAGAGTAAATTCAATGTAAAGCATGCATTAAAACTAGATAACATTTATAAAAGGAGCATGTTTTGAGAGGAGACCGAAAATATATTGAGTGGTCGATAAGCATTAAAGCTTTTAAGGCACAATTAAAGCAAAAATATTTTTATATTTGAAAACAATATTACTATACTAAATATGTGTCATTTGAATCGATGACCCGCTGTCCTTTTTGTGATAGTACCATAATCCGATTGCTGTTTGGTTTTGTTATAAATTTTGCTTAAAATTTTGTAAAAAAAAAATAGTTTAAAATTATAACAAATTTTCGCGTCTTTATATTGAAATTAAATTAACACCGTTAAGGAAATTCTGTAGAGATTGAAACAGGTGACAGTCTAATTGTACAGGATTTCGGTTTCATGACGGATGCATTAAAGTTTTTCATTCAAGTCTCCTCAAATTTTATCGTATAGCTAAAAATGTATGTGGTCCGATATTCTCATAAATGAAGACTACGCTTCTTCTGCTTAGTAGCTCCGGTTAATTTTGTTCAATGGCATGTTATAATCATATTAATTGTTCACTGTAGAAGTTCGGATCGATTGTTTCGCCGGGCGGCAGCACCTCATAATGCACGAGTCCTTTCCAAGCACATTGCATCCCCTCCTTTGGCGTAAATTCGGATAAAGTTCAAACTTATGCTTTTGCTTTGAAAGGCGTATTTTTTTTATCCGCAGGTCTTTGCCGCAGGCGATCCACTTATCATCAACCGCTTTCGATTTCACTGCGCTTCAGTGGTTTTGCGGTTTGGAAATATGGTCTAGTAAATTGTTTAGCGTCAATTTCGTCAAACATCGAGCTTCTTTTCGCAGCTAGCTTTCTTCAGATGCTTTACAACCCTTTCATGATGGATATTTAGGTATTCAGCAATATCTTAACTATCTCACGTAGCGTCTTGCTTGACTTTTGTAATGATTCTATCAACTTTTTTCATAACTGGACTACCACTACGAGGAACATCTGTCATATTGTAATTTTCAGACCGAACGCGACAGAGCAATTCCTTCTGATAACGCATGATAGGCTTGATCAGCACTTTTACATTGATCGTTATAAAAGTGTGGAACATTGCGAATTTTCGTGGAAATTTTACCTATTTTCAAGATGTTTTATCTTACATTTGACTCGAGACATTCCAAGAATTTTAGCACCTATACTGCTATCAGCTCAGCTCGAAAAGATATCAATGCCGACCCATATTAGTTAAGAGATGTAACTTTAAAGCCCCCCACTAGAAAAAAACAGTCAATACTTTGTCGACAACCTAGTATACGTAGTGAGTTTTAATTAAAAATATAGTTTGTAAAAAGTATTTCACCATAATGCCCAGTCGACTCAGCTTGCAGGTTTTTTTGTACCGATGAAACGCCTCATATTTATTATACTATGGTGGTTCCAGAAATTGCCTCTTTTTGGTCTTATCGTGTATGTGTGCGAACGAAACTCAGATATTGCTAAGAAGTAAAAATGTCTCAGTATACATACATTCTAAAACGCATCACATGCTCTTGGATCACTGCTTTTGCATTAAAAATTACACAATCATTTCGATTTCACACTTAATTTGTTAGTTAATAGGTAACGAGGTGAGAAAATTTATATTTAAAAGAATTATTTGTATTATTACTTTCAACTATTATTTAACGAATGTGATGTAAGCATTTTCCTATCTGCTTTCAAAATCGGTTATCAGTCTATGCGTAACAAGAGGCGCAGTGTGCCTTCTGAGCCCTTCACGTTGTCCGTTTTGCTCGCACGTCTTAGGAGTTGTGATTGGCTTTAATAAACATCCTGAAGCAGCAATAAAGTCAGGGTAGTGCATAGTCCGATTTTACCTCTATATAGATCCGAGTGTCTTTGGGAATTCTCTTCACAACCGATGTGGTTAGCTCCCATTCCGAATCCGTCGAGATCCGCGTTCAATTTCCCACGCGCCGGTCCCTAAGGTCCCAAAGGCGTCGGCAAAGACTCCAAAGGTCGTCTGCTCTGGGCGCTTAGACCGCCACGGGACTGGAGAGCCTGAAGCAATCCATCTGGCCTAGTTTTTGGACCACCGACTACATCAGCATGTCAACCGCCACTAGAGGACTGATGCGAACCCCAAAACGCCACGATCTATTTACAGTCTTTGAATAACAGCTAGCTGTTTGTAACGAACCAGCCATGGCTGGGCGGTTGAAAGGGAATTGAAGTTCAGTATCATATCTAAAATAATATATGGAAGATAAGCGTGAGTCGTTGTGTGCCGTCAATAGCCATGTGCATGCCGACATGGGCTTTTTATAACACTGCTCCGCAAAACGTTTTAGATCCCAGTTGGTCCGAATTGCCCCTATCATTATTCCTACCTACTTTTGTTTTGCCATACTCGCAGTAAATAGCTATTTCCCCTGCTGTTACATTCAAAGATGTAAGCATTTTGGTCTTTTCTATATAACTGATAGTATCTTGAAGTATTCCGATTTTGGCTTGACAAAAGCTACATCGCAATACGACGGCATAAATAATTATAGTTATGTTTCCTGTAATCAGTCATAATTAGCCGAATTGTGGATTTGATCTCCCACTGCAAAAAAACAATGTAAAAATATGAAATCAGTATGGTGCAATAGTGCTCTTTCGATAGAAAAAACTGTTCTGATTCTTTACACATGGGGCTCACCTATGACATTATTATATTACTGCTTCCAAGCCTATTTCGAATATAGGTAATTTGTATTGTATTATAAAAACTACACAACAACGCTTTAGACCTTCTGAAATGTTTTCGATATTCGCTCTCCGTACGTCTATTCAAAGATCATTAATTCAAAATGGCATTTCTGCTTTCTCGGATCTGTGAACGCCATAGTTCATGTACTAT